GGGATGTGGGGCTGGGGTTGATAGGTTTTTTTCTCTTCACCTTCTCGTTTCCCATGTTTCTCGAGATTTGGTGGCCGGGATGACTAATGGGGGTTGGGTGTGGGCGGAAAGGGATGGTTTCCGAAAATCGTGGGACGAGAGTGCAGAATGTCATGAGCGGTTCGTTTGTTCCTTGCTCTCTACCTTCCCTATTTCTCGCCCCACCGTTTCAAATCCAAGCTTTGTTCTTCTCTTCCCCTGCTAACCCACGAAACTTTAATCTTAGAGTTCGGAGTTTCTCCCGGCGATTAGCTTAACCCAGTACGGTACTGTTGATCGTTTGGACATGGCAACTCGGGTTGGGTTACCAAGTACTCGCAGTAGGCAAGAGGTACCCGAAAACAGGGATTGGCAAAATATCTAGCAAAAAAATCGTCCATATCCTAGCCCTCGGACAAATACATGACCCCTATTCTCCGGGTACCTTTTTCCTATTGCGAGTATCATGCATACAAGCATAATCTTAAAATCGCTCCTCTTTATCTGGCTGGATGAAATACCATGTTGCTAGCCTACCATACACCCCACTTCTCTGCAGTTCTAAATATGTCACTCATGCTTCACGCGCACTGCGTTGTCCCTTTCCTTGGTATCAGGGTACTTTGGACGGACGGTGGAGTCGTACGTCTCGCTGAAAAATTTCCCTTTACCAGGGGGGAAGCGACCCTCAGACTTGTCCTTAGTAAGGCAACATTATTTGCCCAGCAGCCGACGAGAGCCCGAACTGAAGGAGTTGATAATTGCCATTGTCTATTCGAGTATCATGATACCTTCCACCAAGCGTGGAGCTCTAGGAAAAAAGAAGCCTATCGTACAAGTATCAAGCCCGCGGGGGTCAAACTCCTCTATCGTGGCCCTAGTATTACGAATACTGTAGACTATCCCAGCACCGATTTTGACGTGGATGAAAGCGGTGCGGGTGTGAGTTGTTGAGGGCTCTCGCTGTCCGGGTAGGGTTCCGGGTTCCGGAGGCGATGGTCACAGGGTATCACTCGAGAAAGGGAGGCTGAAGGGCTGAGGGATGAATGGGTGGGTAGGCGCGTACCCTATAGTGCCGTACGGGCACCACAGGGAGGAAGTGGATACGGTCGGGGACATCCCACATATCACAAGTTGAAGTTGTGGGGCTGGCCGTCTTGGTGCGGTGTGTTGGTAGGGCATTACAGACTCGCGCTGTACGGTGCGGTACTCGCACAGTACTAGCACAGTACCGGTACTCTAGGCAAGGTGGAGCAACAAGTGACAAGTTCTTACCACCTTGCATGCGTTTTCCTGCACGGATTGGGGGAGCTGGAGGCGTGGCGATGATGATACCTATCACACTCTACGATGGAGGGGTACAAGAACCATATCACACAGTATGGTATTTCAGAGGAGGGCACTACCCGGCGAGAACATTGGAAGTTCTAGCCAGTAAGTTAAGTCGAGCAAGAACTCTGGGATGCTTACTAGATAGCTGCGATCGCTGGAGGGCGAGTACGGAAGACTACCGATACCGTACTGAGGCAGTTTAGGGCTGAGTCGTTGTTTGTCATCCATGTCTCGGATGCTGGCGGCGGTATGTAACCCGAGGAAATTTTCAATGCCTTGTTGGTCCGGGGGGTGCTGTTTGGGCCTGGTACAGTACTGTATTGTGTATGGTGGGCTACTCGAGTACGGTATTGGGAGTATGATACTCGCTGCTTGGTTTGGTTTCAGGCGATTCCCGGGAGTGAGTTAATGCTGGTACGGTACTTGTACGCTACGCTACTGCACTGCGCTGTGTGGCTACAAACTGCACGGGTACTGTAGAGCTGCGCTGATTCAGAAGATATCGGGACACATTGGCGCCAAGGATGGGCTTTGTTGGGACTGGCGGTAGATTTTCGGATGCCTATTTCTCCTTGGGAGATTCGACGGCAGCGTAGAAAGCAGGAGTATCCGGCAGAATGTTAACCTGTGAGCAGTTAATCTGGGCTAACCCCAAAAACAATACCGGTATAGTACCCAACTTTTACGAAAACATCTCTTCCTTCGGCTGTCATCGTAGATTGTACTTGTACGTATGATAACTTGCACTCCATTTTGCCCATTTGACCACTTTTTCTCCACAACGGGTGCGATGACCCACCACAAACCCACCGGTAGATTCCGCCATTCCGAGAGGGTTCGATTCATACTGGTAGACCACCGTACTGTGCTAGTGCAGGTACCGTGCAGAGAGGTGAGTGGCTAAGCACCCGCCGTCACCCTCTCTGGACACTGTCCAACGGAACTTGTGGCTGATAGGCCGTCTCGATTGAACTCTTCCACCGAGGGCAAAAGAAGGGAAATGAATGAGTGGATAATAGCGGCAGGCTACCTGTATTGTGTTGTGTTGTGCTGTATAATACCAGTAGTGCACTCGTACCGGTATTCTTGTCCATACCGGTATCATAATTATCATGCGATGGGACTGTACGATGGTCTCCCCTGAGAAACCGCCGGAAAAAGGAAAAAAGAAAAAGAAAAAGGTGCCTGGAGGGATATAATATTCTACATTGCTAACGATCATAACTACGAATGAGGATGTCGAGCGATGCGCCGGTTTAGAGTACTCACCGTCATGACTGTTTTTCTTTTTCTTCTCTTTTCCCTTTTCTCTTCGGCAGTACAGTACCGTATTTTCTTTTACGATTGGCCATCTCAGGAAGAGGTGGTACGGTAAAAACTTTGGCCATTCGCCATCTCGGTTAGGTCGCAAATCTCGGGATTCACGACAAAGTTTCTTGATATGGATTAGTACTTTCCCAACATGGTATAGCCTCAGTGCTTTGGCCTTATTTGATCTTCTCAGCTTTCCAAACTAAACCTATCTTGGGCTAATGACTCGGTCTCTAGGAATCCTCAGATGGCCAATCGTAAAAGAAAATACGGTACTCGAGTACTCGTACAGTACCGGTACCGTTGTCTAGGCAATCGCCTAACTTAGTTCTTAGGCCGTATGGTAGGAATAGCAATCATATTCCCGTATATGTGATGGTATTGTACAGTTACTGTGCTCGAGCACATGGCATCTCAACTCGTCCCTACTTACCGTACTCCGTATGATACCGTACCTCCACTTTCTCCAAGAGAACAGAACCACCCTGGCCTCCTCCTCCTCCTCCTCCTCCTCCTCCTCCTCGCCCTCGTGTCGCTGTGTCGCTTGCACCGCCCGAACCGCCAGGATGTACCGTACAGAACGAGCACGAGCATCTTGTACAAGTACTCGAGTGCTCGCTCGAGACATTTCTTTGCTTTTTCCTCCTTTTTTTTGTTTCCTTCTTCCCCACCCCCTTCCCAAGCGCGCTAGGAGAGTTTGGCACGCCTTGGTACGAAGCTTGTTTTGCAATTTGTGCGACAGGTGCGGGGTTGTTGGGGGTTATTTTTGGTTTCTGTATTATATATAATTTGTGTTGCGGGTGTGATTTAGTTCTCTGCCACTTGTATCATATACTCTAGTTACTTTCTTACTTACTATATTGGGTGACTTGTGTTTTGGAAATTCCGTTATTGCGGTTTCTTCTTGTTTGGCGGCTGTTTTGTTTGTTTGTTTATTTATTTAGGTTATTCACGTGTTGGCTCGAGTGTTTGTGGATTGTTGGTGGTGGGTTTTGGGTATCGGTGAGTAAGTGGTGCTTGATAGCCATGTACCGTACCGTACCATATTCTGGGTGCGGCCGCTATCTCGCGATGGGCTTGTTGCATGCTGTGTAGGCTACGGTATGTGGTTGATTGTGCCTGTGCTGTGTTCTGGAACGGTGTCGCGCCGGTAAGGTACTCGGGAGTGAACTGGTTCGTCGTGACCGTTCAGTTGGTTGTCATACTTGGTATCGTATGCCGACTTTGCCGTGGCTATCTTCCTCACCGATGGGATCTATCTATCTATCTGATGCGCCATTTGCTGCTGGATCGGCACATTTACTCTGGCACTAGCAGAAACTGGCTTGCACGGAACGGGAACGGGTCATGCAGAGATTAGTTACCGCTATTGACGGCGGGCTTGCTTGGTCTTGATCTTCGCGATTTCGAGTGTCTATCTAGGTGGTGGGTCTTAGGCGCATATCATTCTTAGTTACTTGGGAGCGAAATCTAGTTCTCTCCGAATTATTGCTATCGTATCATATCCAAGTTCTTGTGGTCCCCGGTTCTCCCAGTGGGGCTTAACTACTATATTCACCAAGTTGTGTCTACTGTAATCTTTTGTTCACGGATTGCGAGGGGATATCGTTTTTTTTTCCCCCATTGGGTTCGATCGTTCTTTCCCGCACGAGCAAGTGGCAGCAGTGGCAGCACCACACCACACTCTTCATGGGGACCGCTAGCCATGTATGTATTAGGAGTGCGGTAGAGATTGGTTATTGGTACTACCGTATTGATTGATAGACATGTCTACCGTAGCCAGGGTTCCACAACTGCATGTACCGTACCGTACAGTTATGTTGTGTAATCGACCCTAACATACAAGTACAGAAGACAGTCGAGTGCTTGGGGGTGTGGTGGCTCATCGGGTACCATCTCCTTTCCCTGATGTCCCGCTTTTCCCCCCTTCCCCCCCCTAGCCCTCTCATGGATGATTGATTACTTTTTTCCCACTTTCCTGTGCATCCCGGCGGGTTTTGGCGTTTTTAATGTTGCCTCCACTCCCGTTCGGCATTCAATCCGGACACGAATGATATCGTTCCCCGGGGGGGGGGGGGGGGGCTGTGGCGTGCGGTAGGCGTTGGATGTGGATTGGTTACCGCTATTGGGAAGGAAGTTGGTCTTTCTGGACTGTCTAGGCTTTGGTGCCTGCATGCTTTGCGGGTTGACCGACCTGCCGTCACTCGAGTGATTCATTGAGCATGTTCTCGTTCTGTAAACCGCTGGTATCACGTCCCATTTCCCTCCCAGTGTCTACCGTAGGTGGGGGGGGGTTCGTTTATTTGCTCATTGGGTTGATTCTCTCCTTTCATTTCTGCATCTGAAGAGTTTATGCTTCTCTCCTGTTAAAATGTGTCTTGTTCTGCCGTCTGTTGGTTCGTTCGTTGGTTCGTCCAGAGTCAGTACGGTACCCTTCCCGAGACGGGCCATATATTGGGAGAGCTGGGCTGAGTAGTTAAACTACTGTACTCGTGGTATCGGTGACCAACATGTCAAACTGGAACTTTAAACCCGCATGAAAAAAGAAAAAAAAACTTTAATTTGTCGTGGGCTGGTATGATACTCACTCGAGTGTTTCCGAGTGAATTGTTTCATCGTGTTCTCCTCTGGAAGTAATAGGTTATCCCGTTTCTCTCCTCCTGGGGGTTCTAGAGGGGACTCACTGTAATGTGCTGTACCTACCGCTTGTTTTGCTCGCCCCGTATTCCCGGATATGTGATGGTTGTGTTTCCCTCATGTTTCCACGACGTCTTGCTTCGTTTTCTGTTCATTCTGACACAGGCACAAATTTAGCCCTGACGGGACGGGACGGGATAGGCCGTAGTAACCTAATGTATGATATTGGAAGTCACGAGACCCTGGTACACATCATCTGTGATCACTCGGGCTGCACTTGGACGGAAACGGACTGGCTCTTATTTCTCGGAGTATGATACTGCTTTTGTGACTCTATCCGACGACGTCTCCATATTTCCCCCGTCCTCAAAAAATGCCCCCTATCCTCTGTACATGCCCCTTTCTGCTCCTTCTATTCCTCGCCCCTCCGCGTCCACCACCCCCGTGGTTATTTCTACGATACCTCTCCTATGATTGATCTCCCCCGTGAACCCCTCTACGGATACCGTAACTCCACCCATCGAATCGCCCGCCAACTAACCGCCGACATCACGCATAACGGAGGAAGTAGCAGAAGAATGAATCTGTACAGTGTCATATCGCAAAGTACATTTCCTTCCCTGGGGGATCTGGTTCTTGAGGCTTATTTGTGATAAGGGTCCGGATCCGCCCGGCTCAATCTACGGTCGGGGCGAAAATTGAACTTCCATAACACCAAAGGGTACCGTACGTACCTCCCATTGGCGATTCTGTGCACCTGTGTAACGAGAGGGGCCGAAAGATTTTCGCTTTCTGGGAGCGCCCTTAACGGTAATGTCCACGATGTGGGCATTCCTGTTCCTCTTATATTAGATTATCTCCGGAATTGTGAGGATCAATGCTTAGAGGGCCCAGCGCGCGGATCTTCTATAGAGTGTTCAACGCAGGGAAGACGGCATTGAAATATCTCTATTTCAAAGACAAGCTAACCCCCGTGACAGAATCAAAGACGATATGTTGGTTACCTTCACCAGCCCTCGGGTTCTTGTGGGATTGGGTGGGGGATGAAAGCTGAGTTCCTCGATGGACCATGGAATATCGGATACCTGGAGCCGAAAACATATATAAATGGTATAAGCCGGAATAAGAGACTGACGGACATCCCGGCTTCTAAACACAGGTAACAACGGGATCTATTGCTGGATTGATAGCTCGGGGGATCCGAAAGGCAACGGTTTAGAGACCCAAGAGCACTTGGGCTCACTTCCCTGTGCACACGGATGGCTAAACATTCAACAGGCGTTCGCATTTAACTATGATGCCGTTTGATGGTTCAAACCACACAATCCCCATTTGCAATGACCCCGGTGTGCCTTAGGACAATAATGTTTTGTGCCCGGGTATGGGTTGGAATTCCGGGCCCTAACTTGGCAGATATATGGGTTCAAGGATGTGCTAATCACAGCCAGAGATACGACTGCGATAGCGAGTATTGCAAAGGGCTACGAAAGCCGCCGTGTAACAATAAGTTAACATCAGTATCCCCGGAGCACCGGAGAGGCACCATTTGTACTAGGATTCGCTCGCGAATGGATCTTGGGATATAAATGATAGGAAGGACTCAGAGGAGGCGAATCAGGGGTGAACGTATTGATGAAAGAAGAACGAGAAAGACAAGGGGAACCGACCAGGAAGCCGTAATACTAGCCTAACAGGACTAGGGGGGAAAAAGTGAAAGCTTATACTTCGGCAGAGCAAAGCAAGTGAACTAAAAATTCCGCACTATTACGGTGTTTGCGCTCAACACTTTTTGGGGTCTCTAGAACGGGAAAATTGACAAGTGATCCGCCTATGGTACTGTTAGTGGCTTTGTGGCGCTAGATTTTGCGGGAACTATTGTAGCTTGGGCCAAGGACACGTAATTCATGTTCCAGTGACCTTAAAAAAACCTGGAGGAGGTAGCACCATGAGCGCTGGAGCCAGACCACGAGTGATTGTACATGACTCCTTGGAAGCTGGAGCCTGGTCGAGCCAGGATCACACCCGAGCTGGAATCCCCCGGAAAGGAGGATAAATTGTGGGAAGAATAGTATTCATTCGCGGTCACTCGTATCGTGTTCAACCTGATTCTGACAGGGCTGGCCTCACATCCCATATTTCCGTCCAGCACCAGTTTCACCTCCCGGCCTCTAACTTAACTTACCATCTGGCAATTTCACCTTTGGGAGGTGATCTTGGGGGTTCTTTTACTGCGGTTTATCCATCACCTCCCCCTGGTTTCTCAATTACTATTGTTGCTGTCTTTAATCTTCCAACGAGCTCTATTACCCACCCCACACATACAGGCTATCTTGCACGAATGTGTGAGCTGTGCTGTCTATGCTTTCTCCAATCCCCCGGTAAAATGCTATCAGTACTATATATCGGTGCCCAAAGACTTTGGGCCGGCTCGGAAAGGACCTAATTACAAAGGTTGCTGCTAGTGTAGTTCATTGTGTGTGATCGTGGGGGCTAGGTTGGCCCGAGTACTAACTACTAGACTACCTTAAGCAATGTTCACTCAAACGTATATATCACTCGCATCCCTTTGCAAGGAACCGAGGTTATATATACATCCCAAAGCCCCTCTTCGCACGACACATATCTTGCCAAAGCAACTCGACCGCCCCCCCCCCCCAGAAGCTATATCATTCATTGAACCGGTAGCCACCGTTTTAGACCACGATAAACATACTCACCAATCCCGATACCGATACCACTACTCCCCACCCTTTGCCGGATCCATCCATCCATCCATACAAACCTCACTCACTGAGCATCCCGTTAGCGAGTGTGTATACCCCCCCTCCCTAGCCTTGTAATTCCTTCCCTCGTCCGTCCCTCCGTACCCGTCTCGCCATCCGCCCGTAACCTCCCAAAATAGCGGAAGCGTCAGTTGTCCCCCTGCAAAGAACATCACAGCCGTTTCTCTCCGTGGTTTCTTTTCTTTTCTTTTCTTTTCGCGACGGTGCTAACGCCCTCCGTTCGTTCGTTCTTCCGTCCGGACAAAGTTATGATAATAGATTAAATTCTCGGTTGGTGGGTTTGTTCAGGTCGAGGAGTGTTTTCGGCATGCCAAGACGGTCCGTGAATGCGATGTGTGGGCACGATGATTAATAGGTTATGCTTGTGTCCGGTTTTAGGCCTACCACTACGGTACCTGTACTGTGTATATCATATAATACGAGTACTAGAGCATATGGTATTGTGTGCCAATGCGATGCTCCGGGCCCGGTTGGAGGGGAGAAATATCGGGCGTATGATATGATGGCTTTTATCGATGTTGCCGGTCGTGCCCCCCCCCCCCCTTCCTTCCTTCTTTCCTTCCTTCCAGCCTCGGCGGTGCCGGGTGCGTTACATCATCGGTGGTCACTCACACCCGGACTTCTACGATATGATACGGTATTGTATATGTATAATACCTCTGTGATTCCTCCATTCGTATCGCTGACTGGGTGGATGGGCCTTTGGCTACCGGACTGTTGTTGTGTGTTGTTGTGTGTACCGGTATACGGGCAGCAACCCCGATGGTATGATAGTGTGGAGATGGGGGACGGTGATATTGAGGGTTTGTAGACCTAAGGGTCAGAGGAGATTGTGTTCTCACATTGTGTTTGCTCCTGTACCGATATTTAGACGGGCCACTCACACCCGCGAGAAACAACAAAGTTCCATCTATCATAACTTACCGCACCACCGCATCCGTTCAGCGGACTGGACCAGCTCAATGAAACCTGGCATATCCCCGCGGTGCTCATTCCAAACCTAGCCTAGCCTGACCTTAATAATAATAATCTTTATCATGATACTACGGTAGTCAGTGCCGCTCGCTCCGCCACATCCGCTTTATCCACACTGGACCGCGATATGATTCACCCTGTTGGTAGGTGGTACTGGGATTATCCTCACGGTTGTTGGGGTATGGAGAATTGTGTGTGTGGGCGAGCGTTAGCAGCCATGCATTCCCTTTTATATAGAAACCTACGTAGCTAGGAAATACACCAAGCTCCCTTCCTCTCTCTCTCCCACGCACACCAGGCGCTATCACCCTCGACCATCACTTCACCCACCCCAAGGCATACCGTAAGAACGTATAGCAGCTGTAACGCTCCAGCCGATAATAATTGCACTAACTATGCGTACATTACACCACAAAAAAGGGACAGAAAATAGCTGGCCAACCGATAGAATGCCGAGAAATTTAGGGTAACGAGCGTCATCTCCCTCCTCAGGGAAAGGTGCCGTACTTGACCTGAATGAAAAACATTGTTTCATCCATGCTGCTCGCTACCCCACCGCGCTCGACACCTTATCAGGTAGTCTAGAAGGAAGAAAGACCCGAGACCCCCCAAAAGCAAACATCTATGAGAAACGCCGATGGGAAAAAAATCGAAACATCGAAACCGTTTTCTTTCTTTTTTTTCTCCCCTTCGTTTCCTCCCCCCCCCCGTATGAGAAAAAAAACCCATTCCGGGAGCATACAATGGTGTCGGTTTCAAAATAAGCAAAGTGAAACAAAAGCAGTTCAATATCGTGAGGGATACAGGGGGAGAAAGCTCCAAAATTTTTACAAGAGGTGTGAATAGTGATGATGGATAAATGAAGAAAAGAAGTAGGGGGAAAATACAGTAGGAACCAAAAGTGAGCATCGCGCTCAAAAAGAAATAAGTGAAAGAATATCCAACTCCTCTCCAAGAGGGTAATTCTAGGAAATGGGGTAAAATATGGGGCTATAGGCCTTCATTAGAACTCAGGCTAGACAAACCCAAAGAAGAGCGCAAAACCAATCAATTACCCCCACTACCTCCCCTTCGAGCGTCTTCGGCAGGCATATGTGGTGGATGCTGCTGCTGACCTTTCCAAGTTCCGTTCCTAGCCATCAGGTTGAGATCTTTCGAATAGACATCCTCTTCAAAAACAGTGTCTTGCGGCCGATGTGGCATCAGTGGCTTGTCGATAGGGGCAGGTGCCGTCTTATAAATACCATCGCCAATATAATATCTGATGGGTTGTGAGGTGTTAACGCTGGGTATTTTGCTCTCTGCCGGGGCACTGGAGGTAGAGTGAGAGTAAAGGTTGTCGTGTGGCCGAAGAACCCGCGAGGAAGAATGGGTATGGGATGTGTCACCGCTGAGGATAGGCGCCGAGGTCACGGGAGAAGCCCACGGCAGGCTCTCGTAGGGGTGCTTATTGTGGTTCGAATCTTGTCTGGGGGCCCCGCTGTATTGGGGAGCATACTGCTGATGGCTCTGCTGCGGCTTGTAAGACCCGTTGCTGGGGCCCGCGTAGCCATTATTTATGTAGTTACCGAAATCCGTAGAAGAGGGCACCGGCTGTCGGGGAAGTGATCTGTTGATGATATGAGTCCTGCTATCAGAAGGTTGCGCCGAAGCCCTATCTGGGTTGTTGCTCGCAGGGGCTTGGAACTGTGCTGAAGGCGGTTGGGGGCCGGGATACGTGTATCCCACGTCGGTCCAAGGGGGAGGATGAGAAGGCTGAGAAGGCTGAGGTGGTCGAGCATCCCGGGCAGCCGAAGAGTTCGGAGCGGCATATTCATGTGGCTGTGGAACTGCAGCACTTCTGTTGGCTGGATAAGGTGAGCGTGGGATGAAGTTCGGAATGTTGACCGATGAGCCACCGTTGGAAGGGCCGTAGTTTGGATAATTCATGGGGGCAATCTTTGAGGGAGGTGGCCTTGGTACTATATGAGGATACCCGGAAGTGCTCAAGCTATTGGCAGCCGCTCTAGCACTATTTTCGGCCGCCTTTTGTTGGCTACGTGCTGCAGAAATTGCGGCCGGTGGGAATAAATGGTGATCTTGTGGGATATTGTGGTAAAGGTCCCTCTGCGTTCTTTTATTCGTCCAGCTAGCCTGTGGTGAATTATTGATGTTCCGTGAGCCTCTAGGAGGGACAGGTGAGTTGGTTACTGTTGCGTTCGAATCTGAATGGGTCCCTTTATGCGATTGAGGAGCTGTGGGAGACGTAACCCCCGGTTTGGGATACTCAGTCAAACCCGGAGGCGGCCCAGCCCCAAACTTATCGCTGGTGTGTCTTACTGACGGGTCAACTTTAGGATGGTTGGTATTGGCAGTACCCCGCCTCTTCTGTAAAAAGTCAGTATGGCTTGGTTTGTAGCCAAATGGGTCGCGACATGCCTCTTCATTGGCCGTGGCATCTTGCCTATGGATGGTTTTTGAGAGTGGAGGATGGGGAAGCCTTCGACCATCAACTTTATTGGTCGCAGGGGAAGTATGTGATTTTCTGCCAGCTCCGTTGGGGCGGCCTCCGCTTGAATCTCCGTTAGATGGTGGGATATCCCCAACAAAAGGTCCACCACCCGATGCCGAAGGCTCCCTCAGTGGATTCATGTGCCCACTAGAGATCTTACCTTCGGCCGCCGGCTTCGGGCCCTCTGCTAGAGCAGGCTTAGAAGGTGTTGGGAGGTTGTTGAGAGCATTCTGAGGGCCATCGGCGCTGTGTGACGAGTCCGAATTCTCCTTCCTTGTGCCATCTCGCAATCGTTTTGTTGTTGATGTGGAATGTTTACTCGGTGTTGAGGTCTGGATGTGCCTGTCGCTGGGTGCCAAAGTGCTGCCAGTTTCGTCTTTAAATCACCATGGGGAAGAGTGAATCCCAATCGCGTTAGCCTTCCTCGTATCATCATGTTGGGGTAAAACGGATACCAGATTTGGGGGAGTTTTGCTTGCTTATGCTAGAAGAGGGATCAGGATCGGATATGGGTGGGGTAGACTGACCATGCACGTTACAAGTGTTGCTATCGAAGGGGGGGCCGTTCTGGGCCGCTTGAGGCTCGCCGGCCGAGTTAGTTGCCGCGGAGGGAGGGGGATTGCGAAGAGCCTTTCCCGGCGCTGCCAAGCTAGGATTCTTGGCAGCTACTGACAGAGGGGACGGGGGTCTAGCATCGGGCCCGCGTGGTGCAGAGCCAGCTTCCATAGAGTACTTGGGGGGAAGTGCCTTAGTTTGTAAAATGCCTGTTTTTGGCCCCATCTCAGGGCATATCACACCAGCACAAAGAGAGTAAAGACTTCGTCTTAGTGGTATTTTGACGGGCGGCCCCGGCTCTGGTTCATCTCCGCTATCCGATGAGTCCTGTTGATTGGTATACTCTACGTCATCGGTAGAGGGTTCGCCCTCTGGGGAAAGCTCAGTTACTCCATTGCGGAATTGAACCAGTGCTTCCATAGCCAACCCTTCGCGTGTCGTGACCCTCCTTGGGCGGGAAAATTGTGCGGGGTCGCTTTGATCAATATCGGCTGGTGTCATGCCTGTTAGTTGGAGCTATAGAGGATACGGATAAAAGCAAACAAGAAACAGTGGGGCCTTACAATCCAACACAAATTGGAGGCCGCTGGTCCAAGCAAATCCATTCAAGCTTCCTTCGTCGTCGGGCTGGGCTGCGTTAGCACCGGAAGAACTGTTTTCGCCTGCAGCGCTCTTTTCATTGCTTATGGAATTCTCCCGCTGGGCGGGCTCTTGAGGCCGCATGGGCGGCGGCGATACTGCGGGTGTCCCAAGCCCGCTTGAGACAGCGCCACCTGCTCTCTTGCATCGCTCGGCCGAGGTCTCAAGAACCTTCCGATCATACAACCCCTGGTTGGACCGAGTGGCAATTTGGGGTCGGTCAAAAACTGAGCGGTCTCGGCCTCCACGTGTAATGAAGTTTTCGACCAGGTCCGTCATCGTAACCTGATCAATATGGTCAAGATTACACCTCCGCAACACATGTTCATTCAGATACGGGTCCTCTACGGCCCACAGCTCTGAGAGCTCATGCCCTTCCCGTAAAAACCTTTGAATTGTATGCTCACACAACTCAACAAAATTCGTCTTGATAGGAAACAAATTTGTTAGCCTCTGTGTTATAAAAGAATTCCCAAGCACATCATACTGACCTCAAATGCTTCCCGGACAGCCCACTGTTCAGCATTGAACACCTCTGATGCATTCCCTTTTTTAAAATCGAGGTCTCTTTCCAGCACAGAAATACGGCCTTCTACCTTCTTTTCTAACCGCTCCTGGACCTGCTGGTAAAAGGGGGTTTTAGAGAAGTAATCTTTATCGCCTTTTAAGTCTTTCAAGACCTGGCTTGCACGCTCGCGGTTTAAGTTTATCATAGTCCTAGAGTAGGTCTTGGCAGTTTCTCTAAGAGCGCACTGACGTTCCTTCAGTTGTTCAAGAGAAGCCAGATTTTTGGTAACCGTTACGCTCAACCGCGCGAGCGCAAGATTTTTAGTCGGGCGTACAATTGATACATCTTTTCGCAGTTCCGACGTCCAGTCGTACTTCGTCACATCACTAGCGACGCACGACGTACCGGGCTCCTTTGCAGGGGCAGCAGCAGGAGCCGTCTTAACAGCGTTTTCTCCATTGGCAGGCACTACTTTTGGCTTCCGAGGTCGATATGCACCTTTGCCCCCCCGGGAACCCGGGCCTCCAGTTTGGCGACTGCCCTTTCCCCGCCCGGGTCGTCCTCGACCTCTTACTGCCTCTGTCCCTCCCTTGCCCTTTGCCACGGGAGCCCTAACCCGCGATCTAGCTCTCCCAGCCTTTGCACCAGAGGGTGGCGATTTATCTGTGCTAGTAGAGTGGCCCGCTAGACCATCCTGGATCATCTCCAACTTGGTGCGTCTCCTCTTAGGCGGCCGCTCGTCGATATTAGGACCTTCGACCTCCTCTTGCTCATCCTCCCCTTCACCTTCGCCCGCTTCATCCCTTCTTTCATCCTCACCCTCACGACACCCACCGCGGTCCCCCCCATTCCCCTCATCACCATGGTGCAATTCATGATTATCGGCCCCGCTGACGCCTTCGCCCCCATCATCAGGGCGCTCCTTATTTTCCGGTACCTCCGCTATCGGATTATTTGGAGCTTCCATATGCACCGGGCTCTCCTTTGAGGTCTTGCTGCCCGTGCAGCTATCTTGGGCTCCCTTTCGTCGCCGGAGCGTAGCTTGCAAGGGCATGGTTGGTTGTCGTGCTGAAGTTCTGGGGGCCGGAGTCGGAACAGTGTGTTCCGGCTCCGCCTCCCCGGCTTCCATAGACTCTCCTTCTTGAGGAGGGGGTGTTGGAGTTATTGAGCCATTGGCGGTACTCCCTTGATCAATGCTTTTTCTTCCCCTACCACGAGGACGACCCACCCTGGGGCGCGGGCCACGTTGGCTGCCTCGCTGTTTCGCTCGGCTCATTGTGTTTTTTTTTTTTTTTTTTTCAGCCAAGAAAAACGGGTAAGAGATATTTACAGATAAAATGAGGGCTGTAATATCTCAAGTCAGTTATGTGTGGAAGGGTTAGAGAAGTACCAACTAGGGAAAGCGCATAATGTGATATAAGATGTTGAAGGGTAAGTAAAGGGTGTTATAGGCAAGCAAGCGATCATGAGTGAATGGAATATAAGAAACGTCAAAGTGGGGGGAAATAGTAAAAGTATATGTGTTGAAAAATAATATGCAAAGGGCGGCGAGGGGGGGGGGGGATGGCGTTGGGTGAGGATGAACTTACAGGATTATCTCAGAAGCGACGATTGTCGTTAGCGTTGTACACCCGGGGTGTGATGTGATGGGCAGCTGCAAATAAAAAGACCCAAATGTCTGGGCCAAAGTTCTCTATGCGAGATTAGTTAGGGTATGTTTCTCTGCAAGAGCGGGTGAAAACCGATAAACACCGCAAGAACAGTAAAACTGATATTTTACCACTCTTGCCGATTTGGAATATCTCCTCGGAGAGTCCCGGTTCACGAGGTAATTTGATCAAGAAGAGAAGGGAAGGGGGAGGGAAGGAATTGGGCGTGATGACACTCAACCAATCGCCGGGGGTCAGGTAAAGAGAGGAAAAAATAAGGCAAAGGCGACGTCCCTCACGAAACAAAATAAAAGCAACGAGAGCAATCAAGCTATAGGGGGGACAATACCAGTAGAGTGAAAGTAATTCAAGTAACCGCTGTGGGTTGTTGCGATTTGTGATTAAGTGGTGTCGAGTGTCATGGGAAGAAGAGAGGGAGAGGGAGAGAGGGAGAGAGGGAGAGGGAGGATGAATAGCGGACACACGATTGATGGCGATGCGCGCAGCTGGTGGCCAGCCCCCGTTCCTCCGGCGAAAATATTCCACGGAATATACTTCGCCCAGAGCCCACGGTTCAAAAAGTGGGAACGTCAGACGAAATCTCTTTTAAAAGAGACCGATGCCAGCAGGTTGATGTATAAGAGATTTTACTCTCTGCAGTTGTTGCGAGGAGAAAGGTGTTCAAGGTGCAGCTGCCCTACCGGAGTTCAAAACCCAGCTCCCCTGTACCGGTATGTACCGAAAAACACAGGTTGAGCCGCTACTAAAAATCCCCCTCGCAGGAAAGGGCTATGTGAAGAGCAGAGGAAGGAAGAATGAAGGAGTGGAGGAGCCAAGAGAGAGGATTAGCCGGTCTATTGTGGGGAGAGAGGAGAGATGATGATGGGAGGAAACAATGTTGTATAGCGATGTCGAAACAGCGAAGAGAGTTGGTTGCTATTACAGCAGCAAGGGCAAGTCCGTAGGAGTAGCGTAGGAAACTATACGACCTTGTCGAATCGGGACGCCTTGGGCGGGCCAGTTTGAAATAAAAGAAAATAAATACACAGCTGTCCTATCCAATATCTTGATTACAACCCACCATTCGAGCGATTTCAGTAGCCTTGTTTCAATGTACGATTAGGAGCACGCAAATAGAGCCATCAACTGGGCCTGCCATGTGAATGATTTGTCGGGAGAGATGGTCCTTAAGCTACCGGTACGGTACAGTACTCGACAGAATGTGGTACAGTACGGTACAGTACACGGCTAAGCCCTTTTGCATAGGTGGCCATCAATCAGGAGCCCCATCTCTGACTTCGCCCTCAAAGAGAGGCCGCACTTTACGGCGAGGGTCTCAGGTATTTGATTGCTTACTGCTCCTGTACTCGAGTACCGCACGGTATCATGACGGTATTGACGTATCCCCTATCGGGTCCCGGGAATGGATATGGAAACCTTCATCGGGTCTTGATCCTTGTATCCGACTGTAACAAGTCACATGAATCTAACAGCATCATTTTCTGGCCGTTTTCCCTTCCCTCTCGACTCTCCCACCCAAAGGTGCCCAACGTTGGGGGCTTCTACTCGTATACTCGGGTACCGGTCCCCCCAAGAATAAAGAATGATGGCGCCGATATCGATTCGAGATGATTTAATTTCTTTTTCCTCGATGCTACAATATCATAGCGGTACAGTGACTCGGGTACCCTGCGATGATCTCCGGGAGCCCCACCATCGGTATGTCGAAACCTGCCAAACAGCCGTTGCCGTACAGTAAACGACCGGATGGCTGGGTGCAGGAGAAGAAGGGTACATATGTGTATGCATACATGTATATATTATGTATATATACCGGCGGAAGCTTAAGTGAAGCCCCAGTTAGATGATCTCAATCTCATCCAGCGTGTTTTCCCTTGAGTGCGGCCTTATTATTATATGATTATAAGAGCGGAGAGTCCTTGGGGCTGGAATGCGGACGCTCGGTACTTTGGATCTAGCCGAGAGCTTCCCCCAACGGTCATTCTGTCCTTGGTTGTGTGGTCTACATACCGGCGATGCATCAAGAGAGTGCTCGCTGCGCCTTACTAAATTTATAATCTATAATGCCCATCGTCCTGGGCACACGATACCGGTAGACTACCGCACCCGCATTGGTTACAGGAATTTCACCGTACCCTACTCGAGCACTGGTGGAAACACTGCGAGAAACAAAGCCCCCATGCAGAGCGCTCCTCCATGATACCGGTGCAAGTAGCCTAACCGCCTTCCACTCTAGCTATGATATTTGCGCCGCACGGCCAAGAAAGCAAGATTTTACCCCCATCACCGCAGTACAAGTACGGCAATCTGGCTTCGGTCCTTAACAGCGAGGTGTAGTCCGCCGCTCGATTCAAGGAGACGATACCGGCACAAGCGCAGGGTGGCTAAGTTACGGTGCTGTATCCCGTCAGTTCAGATATGCATCACTCCCGGTACTGTACTTGTTAAGCTTTGTACCACTGGATCTACTGGGGGTCCCGTGCTGGTTCAAACAATGATATCTCATTTAATTGGTCCGCAGAGTCCGCCCCTCCAGGCTCGTTGTATCAGCCTCTACCCGTGGCATGACTCTTGTGCGAGAACAGTGGGGCAGGGGGGAGGCTGATAAAAGGAAGCTTAATTCCTCTCGATCGATTTCATTCTACAGTAGCAGCCGTTTTCACGCGGCCTCTTCACCGCTTCCCTCGGCCAATCGCTACTAACCTAGTCCTTCTTCAACCGCAAAGGGATTGATATCGCCAACCGCTAAAAACAAAATGGTCTCATCCCCTTCTTTTCTTGCGCCCTTGGGCGCATCCTCACCCTCTCTGGGCATTGCTCTCGCATCAGTCGTTTTACTTCTCAACTTAGGCGCAACGATGGTAAATGCGCAGTCGGAGGAGGTACAACTCGGAGAGCCTCCAGAATGCCTTCTCGACTGCGACTACGCAAAAATGTGGGACAATAGCGATGGTGAAGGAATACCTGAGGTATGAAAGGACCCTCATGGACGGGCCCTCCAGTACAAAATTTATTAGGGACCCGAATAGGGGTATTGCGGATGAACCGATATTAACGAGCTTTTCCGCAGGTGCAATGCGTCAAAGATGTCCTCGGCTCGGAATGGAGGAACATCACGGAAAATGGGATGGAAGAGCTGCCGGAGGATACGGTCAAAAAATTACAAAGCTGCGCTTGCACGGACAAACCTTTCGTGAAGGAGGTCGCTACCTGTCTTTTTGAAGGGGTAAGCTAACTTCCCCCTGGAATACCGGTAATCCCTGGATCCAGGATTGTGTGTCAATTTAAGAAATGATTACTAATATCCTTGCAGTGTGCCGACAACAACACTGCTGTGTAAGTGTGACAATTCTTACTGTGGCGCGGTGTTTGTTGGATAGCTTACCGCAGTCCATCCGTTGGAGATGAGTGCGAGAGAGAGGTCAAGTGCTAATACAGGACCGATTACAGCTCTGAAGGGATTTACCTCGGCTATAGAGCCTGCCATTACATGTTTAACGTTACTCTCCCAGCTCCAACCGGTAGGTGTAGCACTACGGAACTGTGGCACCCCGTCCCTGCAGTTACTGGTATCCCCTTGGGGTTCGCCGGGCTTAAAAATATTGACCTGCCACGGGACTACCCGCCCTCCAATCCAATGCCCATGTAGTCTCGATGAGGGTTATTCCCCTTATTGCTATCTTTTCTACCTTTATCTTTGTTGATTCCTGTTTCTATGTGATCCCCCTGCTAACAACTTCCCATGGCATAAATAGATGTTGTCAAGATCCTCGGTATTTCTGTTCCTTCTGGGGTTGTCGTTCCCACAACCGTCTCAGGTGTCCCTTTAGCAACAAGCTGGCCCGGAGAAACTACTAGCTCGACTGTTCCGTCTGCCTCCAGTTCTCAAAGTGGAACGACCTCTGGCTCCGCGGGTGGGGGTGCGCCAAACGTAGGATTAAGGAATGCCCCGAGCGGTCTATTGACTATCTTGTGCACCCTGTTCGCTGTCGGTTTTGTTACTGTTGGCGCAAGGACTGATCATGACAATGACGGTGACTTTGATCCTTATATCCCGTCTTGTGTATCGGGATGCTCAGATCGATTGATAAGGGGATCTAGTACCGTAAGCCCAGTGTTTGCTTGTTTTTTCCTGAAAGAGATAAGATAGATCCTAACGTTACGCCAGTGCACTTCCGCGACGCCCGCTGAGGAAGCCTCCATGACCTCCAGCTCTCAAGCACCAGTACCGCCCAGTCTCCTACTACCTTTGCCCTTGTCACTGGTGCCACCGATCCCGCTGGTATCTCATGTACCGATGCACCCGTCAGAAACGCAGCCAGGGAGAACGACGTTGCTGTTGGAGTATCTGCCTCGGGCTTGTTTGCTGCTGCCGCAATTTTGTAGAAGGGACAAACTTTAGTGTTGGTGTTGGCATATGAGCCGTACGAGGTCTAAATGTAATTGGGTTAACAGGTTGAGAGCAAGAATTTGGTTGGTGAATCGGGGCTTCCGTTACCCCAGACCTTTCAACCCCTTAACCTCTTCCTTTATTTTTTCCCCCGAATGCGTGATATCGGGTTGAAATGTACCGGGCCTCGAGGACTCCCGTGTATGAGTCTATTCCCATGTAGTAACCCGACTCTGTCTGGGCCCATGAATGAAATAAGCGGGTGGCCGAACGGGGAAAGGAGGGGGGTGTTCGCAGACCGGGAGACTGCCGTAACGGGTTCCTGGGAACGAGTAATACTGCTCCTCCCCCTCCCCCTCCCCTTCCGGTTAACAGCCCTATACGAGCTGCCAATGAAGCCTCGAACACAGCGCCCGTCGGATAACAACACATGTAACCGCAGCGTTATTGTCAGGACTCAGGATAGCAAGCCTGTTTCAGCATCGTAGCTCGAAAGCCAGCAGTAAACTGCTCAAAGAGCAGCCTACGGCAGTGCACTCCACAGCTCAGTGGCCCACGACGGTAGGGCGTTTGGCGCGGGGCAGTCCAGAGAGCTCAGGGAAGGCGTCCATTCAGAGGGAGCGGAGAAGGAGAATAGGAAGGCGTGTCCGGTAATGTGTTAGATGTCGATGTCTAAAGGGTACGGTATCCGTCCCATCTAGGACAAGAACGGATACTGGCGCTGAATAGGCACGGGGGAGAAGCCAATCATTTCGCTGAGAACTGTCGGCTTAAACCCTTTCGGATGATCGCCAAGAAATTGTGGCTTACTAAAGAGCTCGAAGATTTAGACCCGACAACTACGAGTAATACTATACTGTCTTGTGTTAGTGTGCTAGCGGCTAGTCGTAGACAAAAGCTGTAATATCATAGGAAATATTATGAAGGAATAAGTAAATACACAAGAGAAAACAAGAGGGAAGGAAAAAGAAAGGAAAAAAAAATGAATGTTCGGCTACAACTCTATTCCTACTATTAGTAACACACTGGTATTGCCCTTAGTCCCCCGGAACAAGCAGCAGCAACGTTTCCGAATTTACCTTCCTCCATACCCCCGAGAAAATCTGGAGTCCGCCGTTTCGGTTCATTGCTCGGAAGAACAAAAATGCTTGACAAACATTCCACCCCATCCATCTCTCCCCTCTATAGCCAAGATCAATCGTCATGTTCCACCCCCCTCCCCAGAAACTCGGGTAAACCCCAGCAAATCTCCCAATTGCCTGCGGGCAGAAATAATACAACCCCTGGGCTCATAGGATCCTGGCTTCCAAATCCGACCCCTGCTAGTTGAGGGTTAATATCGAGCAATGGAAGAAACCCCGGAATATCGCGATGTGCTGCCCCGACGCCGGGATTAAACGAGTTCATGGTGTGCACGGCAGGATGGGGGATTTAAGGGCTAGATATAGAGAGGCTGAAGGGTGTCTTGTTGGGGATATCGAGACACGTTTGGTGCCTCGTCCGTCGGGAGATTTCTTTGCTCCGATGGTACTCCGCTCAAGGCACTTGCACCATTCGCTATTAGGGGTAGGCGGGTGTGTTATGAGGCTTAAGTTCCGAGTGTGATAACGGTGGTGGTGGTGGTAGCTGATATAGGTTATTCCCCCGGGCGTTTAGGAAGTGGAGTACAGAGATATCCAGGGCTGCGATGAATCCTAGATGGAACGTGAGATGCCTGACTCCGCTCAACTTATGCATTGAGTACCGAAGGCCCCGCAGTTGGAGAACACTCTGGACGCAATCCCGAGGTGGCTTAACTAATTGCCTCTCCCAGTTACAGGAAACACCTTCGGCGAGATCAAAAGAGCGGGGTTCAATAGTACTCTGCTCCCCGTTACCTGGATACGCCATTTTTTCTTCTTCCGAGGCTCCGGTGAAGCATGTCCTTCACCTCCCAGGTTACGGCTATCTACCAATAGCCCAGGTATTACCGATGCAACCTAGATGAGTAGAGTAGATACCCTCCTTGGCTGAGCTCTGGAGAGGGTGTTCTGGGCCGTTCCAAACGTGCACTACGATAGTTAGGAATAGGCCGACTTCACCCGTCAACAGAGTTTGAAGCCGAAAGGACTAAACTTGAGAAAATTTGGATTCAGATTGCGCCCGGGTTCAAGCCTGAAAACGATAAGCCGATTTTTCGAGCCCTTGAACCAACCCACCGAAGGTAGCAGCGGGGAGAATGCAGACCAGTGGGCCACCCCAATGGTGAGGTTTATAAGGCTCACCCGCGTGTAGCATGGAGCAGATACAATCATGTTAATCGATACTGATTCAGCACCGCTCAAAATCCCGGGCGTTGCAACAGAGCCGGGCTCCAGACAATTCCAGGATTGGACACTAGTATCCAAAGAAATACCGATTGGTTTGTAGCTTATGCCCCGCTTACGTGGGTTCAAACTGACCATAACAGGTTCGAGGAATCGGCGGGCTACATTCACCCCGTCCGCCCACGTAAGCTTTTCCCTAAGTTTAAAAGTACGTTTCCAGGCCCGGGCCCATACACAGGACTGCGATCCCTGGGAATATTTGTTTCGTCGGTTTTGTCCCACCAGCCTCCAACCTCAACTTGACGCCCAATTAACATCTCTCCAGTGCCTCTTGGGGCAGAGACCCTTCAAAGCGCCCGCCCGCCCTTGTTGGCGAGTAGGTCTGGCCGACAGAACCGCAGAATCCGCCGTAACATGGGGCTACCCTGGCTTCTCTGCCCGCACTGCGGGGAAGTACCGACCGGCCAATCAGCTACGGGGTAACGGCAGGGGCCACTTCGGCAGAATTATTAAAACAAGGTGTGACGTGATTCTGTTGATACATTGTCACGAACGCCATGAAGGGTATTCCGAAGACATTGTCCTTGTATCCTCGGAACAGCGCAATACCGGTAATTAAACAAGGCCGCGGCGCTAACGCAATTAGAGAGGGAAGCGAAGTTGGCCTTCAACGGTACCGGTACTCGAGTAACACTCCCAGGGTTATGGCAAGCGATCAAGGATCGACGCTCAAACTGGGAACTAAACATGCGGTTTCTGCTAAGGGGCTCAACCTTACGAAACCCTATTTTAAGGCTCTCAATAGTAGCACTACTCGGGTAACTTACAGGATTCAAAGACATTCTGACAATCGGGTCTTCCCGTGGCGCTAAACTCCCGCCTCAAGTCCGGCTATACGAGGAGCCTATGGTCCCAGCGGCTGGTATCCAGGCAACTTCCACTCGTACAAACATTAATCCCAGTAGCCCCTATCGGCGCACCTTTGGCTACCGAAAAGTCAGCTAGAAAGGACTGTGCCTATCTTAAAGGCGGTATCTTCCCCTACCAGTAGTATATTCTCCTAACTTGCCAAGTAGCTAGCGCAAAAGAGATTGGACAGTCTCCCGCGGCACCCTCCAATGGGCCCGCGTACACGGAAGAGACTTCGAGGCCAGCGGCCGCAACCTTGTCCTTTCTTCGCCGGTAATGCAAAATGTAAAGACTTCTAACCAGGCCATTGACTTCACATGTACCTCCCCCATTCCCTCTCTGATTGAAATCTTCCGATAGCTGACAGCTAGGGATAGTTGAACCCGCAAATGGACCCGGGAGATAGTGGGACCGTAACTTACCGTGGTTTAGGGTGGTAGGGTTGGATTAAATGGGGAGGGAAAGAAGTAGTGGAGGCTATTGTAAAGGCAAACTGAGGCCACGCTCAACACAGCATTTACTTCATGGACTTTTCTGCCTCGACCCATATAGCCTTTATCTCGCCTTAAAACGCCCACTTGTTACTGTTCAATCTGCAACTCACGAGTGAGCCCTTATGATCAACCAGACAGATGGAACGACAAACATCCTGGCAGCTACTGCACCTTAGCGCCCTAGCCAACAGAAGCCCTTGGCAAGTGCGCCTCGCTCCCGTGAATTACGACACCCAAAACTAGTGCTCATCTCGACATGGTAATTCCACCCGTAACTAAACCAGAAAGAAACACGCATTACATGCAGCGCAACAACTCACATTACTTGTACCCCAAGTATACCCGTCGAAAACCAGTACGTGATTGGCGAGAGGGAAATACAACAACTGGCCAGGAAAACTCTCCGGTACCGCATCACACGATAACCCCCCACACACACATCAAGATACGGTATGGCAACATAACCAGTACTGTACCAGTACAGTACAGTACACGCGAAAGGGGACGGGCTGCACTGTGCTATACTCGGATGCCAGGAGCTGGTCTGTGAACACGGCCGTTTCCGGTATGCAGCCAAGCCCATTGATTGTATGAGTGCTCGTAAAGGGAAGGGATCCCGTTCGGCATTGAGACCTTTTGTTATCGATAGCGGTTTGGCAATTATCGCCGGGCTCACGGATTAACTCCCCCATGTGAGCACCGTGTCTTGCTACCCGTGGCGATCGCTGTACGGGGGAAGTCAGTGGATGGTCAAGCAGGGATATTGGAACGAGGTATCGCGCGATAAGTTGCAAAATGCCAGAGTGGAAGTAGGTACAGCGGGACAGCAAACAGTAAAAGTGTGACATCTAATGATTACTACTCGGGGGGGGGGGGGAGGGAGAGGAAAGGAAAAATATGATAACTATCCAACATCTGCTATGGCATTCGCCTTCTTCGCGGATGGATGCGAGGAAACCACTAGCAGTAAAATCAAGGGAATAAAGAATAACCCTAATATCCACATATAAGAAAGGAACATCCCTCTCCAAACACAGCACCTTACTCCAAATTCTTAAACACAAATGGCCCCACATTGTTCACTGGTCTTGCCGCTCCCGGCCCTCCTCCCGAACAACACCCCCCCGCAGGCTCAAATGCCAGCTTACTCGCTTTGTCCGACCTATCCATAACGCCCTTCCACTGCGAAGCAACTTGGCTTGGTGTTGAAGAGTAACTGGGTGGGACGTCCAGGGCTGGATTTCTCAAAAAAAAGTTTCTCGGTCTGAGAAGCAGGCTCAGTGGTTCTGCCGGCATGACGGGAAAGTCTTCCGGGGCGGGGAAGTGTGTCAGGCCGAAGGTGTGCCAGACGACAATGTCCTCGTTTTCAATATTTGCGCTGCCGTCTGCTATCCACTCTGGCAGACCGCGGGACGGCTCGCCGGAGGTTTGACAGACATGTCGACCGGCGGGGTTGAGTTGGCCGTCGGCGTCTGTACAAGTTATGGGTTAGAGGGTGCGAGCTGGGCAGCTATGGGATATGCTTACAAGGAGTGACGTGGATTGCATGTCTCGCGAATCCAGCGCGTTTCCAGACAAGACTACCTTCCTTGGGAAGCAATTTTGGGGCCTCTCTGGAGACGAGCTTATAGCCGGTGAACTTCCCAGAGTATGGGTGGATCTTGTCTGTGTTGCAAATATCCCAAGTCCTAGTTGTCGAACCCTCGTAATCCGATATGGATTCCCCCACCTTGGTGTATTTTGTCCTATTGGCGTAGAAAGCATTCCCGTATTTATTCTCGGCGCTTCCTACCGGAGCGGCGCTGGGGGTCGCATCGACTTGGAATACGGTATTCTTCTGACCGTCTATCTGGGGGTCGAGACGAAGGCAGAAAAGGTGTTGGTGGTTGTGCGCCTAAGACATACGTCAGTTTGAGACAAGAGAAACGGAGGGTTAGGGTTCAGACATTAACCCCCGGGTGGACTTCTGTTCCCCATCCCTTTGTGTCCTCGCCGGGTCCCATAGCATAAGTGTTCAGAATACCCGTCAGTTTAATCTCAAGTTGGATGGTCGCATCCTGGTGAAATATCCAGTATACACAATACTCGTAATTGGCGGCGGTAAAGATTTGCGAAACCACAAGCTTGCGCCCACGAGTGACTATCATGGAGTTGTCTCGGTAATCGGTGTGCTTGAAGAGAATGCCCGCATCTTCCTCGTGAATGCAGACCGCATTCTTGATGGTCACAGCGGCTCCGGCGTTATTGGAGAAGTTTGCGTCTAGATAGTGGATTGAGCCCTTGCAATCGCAGCCAAGACTGTTGGGGCTGTTATTAGCCAATATTTGGGATGTGGAGAGGCTTAAGGATCTTACGATAGCGAATTCGTCATGTAACCACCCCCATATTCACCCAGATCGAAGGCGTGCTTCCTCTGATGTGGGTGCTCCGGATTGCCATATGGCACTACCATCTCTGCCAATGATATACGATAGAACAAGGGCCTAACATTTCCCTTATCATTGTAGGTAATGTTGTTCAGGACAATGCCCTCTCTGCCATTGAAACCGATGTGAAAGTTGAAGTTCTGCCAGCTGATTTTCCTCCCATCTATGGCGAAGGAAACACCCTCCGGCTGGGTGATATTCAGAGGCTTCAGATCGGTGCGATAGCCGCCCTCTCTCTCAATATCTGCAGGATTGTAGTTACTGCCGAAGGTGTTGACTGGCCGGCGAACACCAGGGATATCAATCTGAATGATCTCGCCGGTCTCCGTGTTGACCACCGGGCAGAAGTCAAGTGGGTATGCATACTGCATGTCGTCGATATTAGGACGGTAGTACATTAGCGCTTGCTGCAAACGGACATCGCTCCCAAACCGCTCGTCGTACCCAATTGTCCATGCTGCGTTAAAGTCTCTCGTCAATTCCTTATTCATCGCAATGATCCCGAGGAAGAAAACATACGGTCACAGTAAACCTTATGCATATCCTCTTCAGGTATTCCCAGGATCAGGCACTGTTCGATAACCCTCGGGTCCTTGCGCACGAGTATTTCAGTCGCCTGCAGATCTTCCATAGTGATCTATTTGCGATGCATCAGTTGGTTTTTACTCTGGCGCATTCTGAAAAGGGTTTCCGGTGCAGCCTACCATTGGCTGGACACCCTCCAACTTCTCCCATGCGACCACCTTTCCATCAATCAAGTCCACGATTCCGTCGTAAAGTGCGAATGACCTGTCGATGGCCACGACCTCTGCCTTCCGCCGAGGCCTCAGTGCGTTCTGCTCATCAGCTAGCCACACAAGCATATCTTTCTTTAGGGGCTCATTCAAAGTGATGGCATTGTATTTGAGCTGGCCGTACTTCTCGCGAACAATAGCAGTGGCATATTCGATCTCTGTGTTTGACAATGGGTCGAATGGATGTGGCGGCCGGTTAAGGCCATAAAGATGGGCATTGAGCTGTTTGAGCCTTTCAAGAATTGACATGGTGAGACCCGCAAAAGCGAAGGATAGACCTGAGGATGAGGAAATGAACGAGGAGGGGTAAGAGCAGATGGGTGGTTCGAACCTAGACAATTTCACTTTAGAAGTCTAGATATCTCAAAGAGGGAAGAATGAGGAGTCTCGTGGCCTCAAGGAAGGGATAGTGAGGAGGAGGGGGAGGGGAGGGGGGGGGCAATGAGGAAGGTTTTATTGAGTAGCCCGAGGCGTATCGGATCCTATTCTCTCCTCTACTTTCTATGGGTAGCGAGGTTGCGCCGCGGATTTATGTATTATATTTTCCATCTGCCCCCACCAGGAGAGGCTCTTCCACCCCCAGGCTCTTCCACCCCCAGGCTAGCCAATATTTACCGGTAGAAGACTGGCATCCTTGGAATCACTACTATGAGCGGAACCCTGCCTACCGGTGCTTGTCGCCTCCTGCCGTTTAAGAATCCAACCCAAGCAATTCCCCGGTTTTTCGCAGCCTATGTTTCCCTTCACACCAAGATGCACCCTTACTAAAATTCCGTAGCCAATCGCACAACGACACGACCAGGGGGAGGGGGACGCATTCTGCCCAGCTGGTAGAAGGGAGGGTTGGGGGTGAGAATAAACGGGTACTCTCTGATACCAGTTGAAGTAGAGTTACCGTAGCCTGGGTTGGATCACCCGACAAACAATATCACCAAGTGATCCCACTATCACACTACCACACTACGCAGTGGACAGGCCGAGCACCATCGGAAGGTATCGCGCGGTGGTACTTGTAGTGGCCATTATTCACAGAGGGGTACGGTGCTGCACCAGTGCTACGCCGCGAGGCCACACCATCGGACCAGTTATTTGTGCTTGTGTGTTCAAGGAAGCACGGAGGGTTCGGGTTTCGGGGGATCTATGATGCTTAAGTTGGCAGGTTCCCACAAGTGATATGCCCGAGCACTGCCGGTGCCTTTCTCCCCAAAGTCCCAAATCCATTCAGCTATATCATAGAAAAAAGGCGGCGCCACACCGTGCATTTGATGGGCACCTTGGTATAATCGAAGGGTTTATAGTGATCTGCTAATAGACTACCGGTACGGTGCTACTGTATTCTTGTGCTCCCTTCCCCAACGCAGGGAAAGTTCCCTGGCCCATGATATCTGACTCTGCCGCTCTTCCCTGCACACTCCCCCACATCACAGGAAAAAGAAAAAAAAGGAAAAGCCAAAGTGTTATCGATAAAGATGCCATCCCAACAGCGGGTTCGAGGAGGATAAAGAAAAGAAAAACATCCCGTTGCTATTGCCATGCATAGATTGGTTGATAAGTCACCGCATCTCGCTTGCTTCCCCGGAAAACATACCCTATCGTAGCTTAGACCCCCGGTTCATCCCCAATCATGGACAAGAGAGAGGATTTATTCGGAGCTACCGGTACACCACCGACCCTTGGGGCATCATAAGGGCACTGCCTACATACAACGCCGGTACGTAGACCGGCAACTCGAGCGTATTTGGAGGGTTTCTGCTAGAACTGCTCTTCAGGTAGCATATCGTGCGGGGGAAGTGAGCTCCTCTGCCTTGAGCAACTATGCCCCCCATGCTTTCCCCGCCCTTCGGGGATTCGGGATCGGAGGGGAGGCGTTAGGGTTCTTGGTATCGTGCTTGGAGAGTTTTCCCGAGAATTGGAACATCCTAGGTAAAGAATGTAATAGGTTGGATCTACACAACTCTCTTTATCCGAATGCCTTGTTGCGGAAGCTCCCTTCGATAGTCGTTCTGGACTTGATAGGCCCGTCTTCCTGAGCGTGGTTAGAACATTGCCATTGGCCTCCAGTATGGAAGTGGTGTGCACAGTATAGAGTATCTCCAGAGAAGGGATGGAGCCAGACCTGCGAGTAATTGAATTCTGATGAAAATTAGGTAAACAGTCGTGCCGGCAGTGTGCTTGTGAATACTGGTCTTGGAAAGGTTCATCAATTTCAGCCCTGGGGTTGGAAGGCCTACCATCATGAGATTTCGCCCGCGGTGCTGTACGCCTTTGGTTGGGTGCCGGGAGGAACTCACGCCGACCAATAATACTCCTTCAACTTCCAGAAGCGGTAGCTCCCTGCTAGAGATACCAGCAACGGATTCGATAGCAGACAGGCCGGTTCGAGTGCGATACTGTCACGCACTAACTTACTACTCAAGAGAGAGTCCCACAATGGCTCTCCGCGCGAAACTACTGGATGAACCCAGGATCGAGCACGGAGCGTTGGCCATCCCTCGTGGTCCAAAGGGGGGAACCGCGTTTATCCGTGAATCAAGCATGATGCGCAGTGGTATGAGCGGGGGCATGGAAAGCATCGCGCTGCGGGGCTTGTTTAGAGCAATGCCCTGCGGACGGGATTTCCGTGCTTCAGACCACTGGTGGTGCAGTGCAGCACCAGTACGGATACGCCCAGCCCCATCATCGGTGTTAAATCTATGTGTGCCGGTAAATCATCATACGGTACGGTCTGCACCGTGCCGGAATAGTGCACTGACCACAAAACCCTAACCCAATGTTTCTCGTGATTCCTGAGAAACCGATGCCTGGGTTATTTGCAAGGTATTGGTAGCCAGCAAATCCATGTCTCAGAGTCTGATTCTTGTACTCGTATACTGTGCACCGGTGTTCACAACGCAGTGGTGTGATCCGGGGTGCTTGGTGGCACAGGGCCTATCCGCGCCCCTCTATCTCTCTGGTCATACAGCACTCGCCAAAAATTCATTTGATCGAGCCCATATTATGGTACAAGAGATGATGTTGCCGGTCGTGGTGGGGTTGATGAGACGCGAGCCGGGGGATTAGTCTACAACCGCCTTGGATTTCCAATGTATGGTACCGATACCGTACCGTACTGTACCGGCACTCCACTCGAGTAGACATCTCGTGTCGATATAACTATTGGGGGCGCCTGTGCAGTACCGTAGGGTACCGGTACAGTACTGTACAGTACTCTACACATGCCCAAACTCAGCTCGAGATGCCCCCAGCCAACCGCTCAAGTCGCTCAAGTCTCAGCCCGCGCTCCGGAAACGGGGATTCGATCAGCTACATTCGGTTCGGTCGATCCCAATTTTGGGCAAGGAAACTCTCCACTCGCATCTTTTCTTCCCTTCCCTGAGGCCCTTTCCCCTATCGGGATGTTATCACGATTATTCGCTTTGTTGTTTCAAACACCTGCTTTCAGGGGAAGCGGCGGGAGTGCAGGTTGAAGCGGTTGCCACCAACAACGGGGAGTTCAACAACAGCGAACGAAGCTCCTCTTCCTCACCTTGATTCGCCCACCCTCCCCTCTTAAACCATCACCGCTGCCCCGAAAGAAAAGAAAAGAAAAGGGAATACCCCTTCTTATAGAGAAACGCCTGTCGACGTGAAAAGGAAAAGATGGCCCAACAGCAGTGGATTGTTACGCAGGATAAGACGTTCAGGAAGTGGTGAGTCGGTGATTCTCTGCGTCCCTCTCCCGTGAGCCTCGCGCCTCCCCGTCCGCCATCTCCCCCACTACCCAACCTAGGGGAGGCGTCGGCGCGGTATGAGACGTGCTGCTGGTTATGCTAACATCAAGGACAAAAATAGGCTCAACACAAAGCTATCTGCTCGAAACATCCCCCCCGCGCAATCTTTGCAAAAGGACCTAGCTACTGGAGTACTACTTTCCCCTACCACCCTTGACACCGTGGCTATCGCTAACGGTAGATGGTCTGAAGGTACTATTGATCCATCTCCTCGAAATTCTCGGCAATGAGTCTCTAGGAAAATATGCGTCCAACCCACGGTTACGGGTTCAAAAATGCGAGAATGTTCACAAAGCTCTCGAATATATCCGCGGCAGAGGGATCCAGCTGTTTAACATCGGAGCGGAAGACATAGTAGATGGAAATCTGAAACTTATTTTGGGTTTACTGTGGACCCTGATTTTAAGATTTACCATCGCCGACATCAAGTGAGCGCCCATACAATTGACCGAGAGTCGAAGCTGCTAACACGAATTAGCGCAGAAGGCTTGACCGCTAAGGAGGGCTTACTGCTTTGGTGTAAGCGCAAGACTGCGTGCTACGAGGAAATCGATATAACCGATTTCTCCACGAGCTGGAACAATGGCCTAGCATTGTGGGTCCGACCCTGCTTCTGCGGAATCCCCGATTACTCACGTAACATGAAAATTTAGCTGTGCTCTCTTAGATTTCCACCGACCAGATCTAATCGATTACTATGCTCTTGACAAATCAGATCACAAAGGCAATACAGCGTTGGCATTCAAAATTGCCACGGAGGAGATTGGAATTCCTGCATTGCTCGATGTGGAGGATGTGTGTGATGTGGCAAAGCCTGATGAGCGCAGTTTGGTGACATATATCGCCTACTGGTTCCATGCCTTTTCGCAGCTCGAGAGAATTGAGACGGCCGGAAGAAGGGTGGAGAAGTTTGTGGAAGTAATGCAGGGAGCTTGGGAAATGCAGCACAGCTATGAAAGGAGAATGGCAGAGGTTTGCCTCCGAAATGATCCTTTAGATTATCTGGCGCTAATATTTTGGTTTACGGGACACCAGTTGCTGCGGCAAATGTGCGAGATGAAACAGCAATGGTCCACAGCTACCTTCGTCGGGACATATGTCGACGCTAAGCAACAATCCCAGCAATTTTCTTCATATAAGCGTACTCTAAAGCGAGCATGGGTGGCCGAGAAAGCAGATCTCGTCTCTTTATTGGGAAATATTAAGACGAAACTTACCACATACCGACTGAAGGACTACGAGCCACCGGCTCACTTGAGTCTAGCCAATCTGGATCTAGAATGGAAGAAACTGCTACAAGACGAGAACAAACGGAGCATCGTGATCAACGAAAAGATTCGAGAGTAAGTACGACTCTGGTCAGTGGCATAATGAACTGAATGGTCCTAACTTGACGGATTTTAGTATCAAGGAGGGGTTGAGACGGTCATTCGCAGATGCGGCCAATGAGTTTGCCTTATGCCTGAACACCGTTTCACTGCAGATCAGTGAGCTAGACGGGGATCCTGAGGTATGTGCGGCTGCTGTGAGAAAACGTTTCATGGTTGTGGTTGAGGTTAATGTGCCTATAGCACCAATTGCGCATCGTGCGAACATTGCATCGAAACATAATACCATTGGAACTGGAGCTGGACAGAATCGAGAAGCTCTCGGACGATTGTGAAGAGGCCAATATCGAAGAAAATGACTACACCGTTTACTCCTATGATGAGCTCGAGTATGAGTATGGGCTTGCGAAGGAGAGTGTGGCAAAGAAGTTGAGCTTTTTGGACAACCAAGTAGGTTCCCGTTCCCCGGGGGCCCTCTCATCGGGAGGCCGGAAAGCTAATCAATGAGATAGATTGTAGCAAGAAGCATGACCAACCTGACCCCAATCCAGCTGGAGGAATTTGAATCGGTCTTCCGTCACTTTGACCGCGACCTCTCCAACTCGCTACAAGAAATAGAATTCTCAGCGGCCTTGGCATCACTCGGATTGGTATATGACGAGGAGGAGATGCACGAAGTCTTCAAAGCAGTATCTGCCAGAGGCCGCAGTGTAACTTTCGAGCAGTTCATCAGGTTCATGGTTGAGGTTACTGAGGACCAGAACAGCGCCGAACAGGTGTATCAGAGCTTTAAGGAAGTGGCGGATGGAAAGCCTTATGTCACTGAATTTGATTTGAGACACAGCTTGGTTCCGGATGGCATGATTGAGGAACTGGTTTCGACGATGCCGAAGGTCCGGGCAGAAGACGGTGAAGTGGGATTCGATTACGAAAAGTACATGGAGCGCCTGATGGGGAAAGAGCTGGATACCAACGGAGTACACCATTGAGCTCTCTCCATAAATGTCCGAGTAATAACCTATGACACCCAGTTGCTTGCGGTATTTCACGATTGCTTCTTTTCTCTTATTTCGTCTAAGCTTCCCTTTTATTCCTCTTTCGTCCGTCCCTCTTTCCTTCCCCCGCTGGTAGGGGTAAGCACAGCGTGGGGAAGGAAGGGGTCAGGTTGGAGCCTGGTCAACCAAGTTTTTCACACCCTTTTTCACCGTCGAGCCGCACGGCTTGGGGGCCGGTTCGTGTCCCCTTTCCAAAATGTGTATCGAGTATTGTAGTGTATCATAATTATCACCCTCTTCTCTTCCTCTTCCTCTCTAATATTTCTCGGCCATTTTGCAAAGTGGGAAGTGATATCAATTGCAAACTCGGGTAAAAGAAATACAACGTTTCTTGAACCTTTTCAAATGTTTGCTTGTATTGCGATGTATTAGTCTACTGCAGGTGGCAGCCTAACTGCTGATACCGGCAGGTTATGGTGCTGTACAGTACTGTGCGCATCCACAAGACAGGCGATTTCCATCCTGGAGATCGGACAGTGGCGGCCGGCGGTTCGCGGGGGTCTTGGCAGGGATCGTGCACATTTTATGGCACGGGTAGACTCCCCGAGGACCGTACTCGAGTACAGTATTGTACAAGTACTCCTACTGTACAGTACGTACCAGTACTAGTACACATTGGCCGCGCGAAAAAAAGAACCCAAGTTGCCGTACTCTATTAAACCCGTTTCACCGCTCAAGAAGGTCCCTCCCCCGTAGCCTGTCGGATCCTACAAGACCTGGTCCATTGGTGGAGTACCGGTAAACCGTCCAAACCGACCGCAAAGAGAAGGTTCAGCTGGGTTGCTGTCTTCTGCGGGTGTGGTTTGTGTCTAAATCGGTCCAAGCGTTGACCTCCTTACAGTACTAGTACTAATATCCGTCCGTCCTCACCAAGCTTCTTCGTCTGTACTCGAGTAGACCCCCAAGTGCTCTCCCAATGTGCCAATTTTCCGTTCAATAACTGTCTCCCTATCGGCGATGCTCTTGACCTACCGGTAGCACCCCGCAAAAAAAGCACAAAAAATCGACTAGCCCAAACCGCGCTGGCGTTCTGTGGGCTACAGTACCGCCCATCACCACCACCACCCACTGCTACTCTACCGACCTTGGAAATGCCATCCTGTAGCTGGGGCGTACCACTGAGCCCCCTGCAGTCCAAATTCGCCGCCTCTCTGGTCGCGACGACACTGCTGGTCGCGATACTCTTCTTCGTGGCATACCCGCGCTCGGCCTACTCCTACTCCGACTTTGAACCCGGTTTCGACTCCTTCGGCGGGGATGCCGGGGTTTTCAGAAGGCAGGATGAGATGGTCAGGGGGTTGGGGAATAGTGTACCGGGGTCTTACAATCTTGAGTTTGGACAGATAAATTACTGGGTGTTGGAGCCAAGCCAGTTGTTTGTTGACGACGGCAAGAGTGTTAGTGCTAAGAGGCGTGAAAAGCCAATCGGCGAATTGAAGAAACGGCAGGGTGGTGACGATGGTGGGGGGAGGGAAAGGTCACGGACGGTCTACCTCACGTTCAATACTTGCTTGCAGCCTCAACGCAATAATACTGGTGGAGCGGCCGGGGACAGCGACGGCGGCAGTGATGAGGACGTCCCGAGGTTGCCGCAGTTGGAGCTGTACCTGTCGAACAGTAGTTCGAACCAAGCGCCTGGTCCGGGGGTTCTGGATAGACCGCAGATTTCGATTCCAGTGGTGCAGGGGTATGCGAATTTCACGTTTGATACGGCTGGATCGATCTGGGTCGGGGTTTACGCACCCGACGTTGGGGATAGGACGTGGTGGGGCGGGATATGGAATTATGAGCTAGTGCTATCTACGAGAAAACGGTATCATGAATATGTCGATGATCAATTCCTCTACCTTGTCGACTCGGACAACGAAGCCGCGCTGTTGATTACGGGGAATATGACCGCGGGATCTGCTGCTGATGGAGGTGTGGATGAAGAGGTCGAGGGGGACGAACTGATGCAGAGACCGCCCCCATACCTAATGTATGCTCAGAATACGGGTGTGGATAGCAGGTTTCAGGGACTAGAAAGGAGTTACTGCGCCGTCACAAAGCTGGCACAAGTTCGTCCTAGGAGCCTAGACGTCAGCATGACTAGACGGGGTCTCGGGAACCTTCCGAAGCAGCAGTTCCACTTGAAGGAGTTGAACAGGAGCAGTTCTTACCTTGGGTACCTCGCCCGGCCAAACTCCACAAACCCCTCTGACACCTCGGGAATCCTCTGGCGCGCCACGCTTATCAACACGAAGAAGGACGGAAATTGTCAGATCATATACAACCTCCCATTCTGTTCTGAGGTAGCCTATGCCGTGCCCTCGAACCCCACACTATTCAATATGGATAACCTAACAAACTTCTACGACGACATCGCCAAAAGCTGGTACAAGAACTTCTCCTACTCCATCCAACAAATCCAGTGCAACACATCGAGTTCCGCACAGTACTCGCTCGCCCGAGGCTGTGCAGACTGCGACGCCGCGTACAAAAATTGGTTATGCGCAGTAACCATCCCGCGGTGCATGGACTTTTCCTCTAAACTTCCGTACCTGACCGAACGCGCCATGGGCGAGATGTTCTACAATGCATCCTCCGGGAAAAATCAGACGCACCCGTTCAACACCACTGATGCCACCCTCCCACTAAAAGATGCGAACATGACACACACAAAATCCTCCCGGAATGCTAAGATCGACCGGATCATCCGCCCGGGGCCATATAAGGAGGTCAAGCCGTGTATGGACCTCTGCTGGACACTTGTGCAGAGTTGTCCCAGCAGTTTGGGCTTCCAGTGCCCTAGATCGGATAGCTGGGGGATGGCACAGAGCTATGGCGCTAGAGACCCGAAAGGGGACGTGACTTGTAGCTACCTCGGGGCGGTGTATTTCTTGAGTTCTGCTGAGAGGAAGTGGAATTGGGTTTCCGGAGGTGGGGGTTGGATATGGGCTTTGGGAATGGCAATTTGGTTTGTCTGGACGGGTCTTTAGTTTTCTTTTTTTGCCTTCCCGTATCGAGGTCGGGGTCTCTTTTTTAATGGGTTTTCTGGCAGGGGCGTCCGTTACGTGTTTTAGAGTATTGGTTAGTAGATACCTGAGTTTACGATAAAATTTCCCTTTTCCTCTTATCCTTTATGTATTTGTTTTTATAAATTGTTTGGTCGCATATGCGTGGCAATGGAACCGGCGATATCCACTTTAATGTCATACTTCCCTCCCCCTCTCTCGCCATAGCTTCTTACACACCCCCGGATATAGCCACCGCACCATCACCCAATCTCTACCCAATTCCCAAATTATACACACACTCCCCCCCCTCTTCAGCAACAGCACCCGCAGCAGGCTAGGCAGTCCCGACCCCACTAGCCCCTCCTTCCGCCGCTGAATGATGCTCCCCATGATGCTCATCCTTCAAGAACACCGCCTCGTAAGCGCAATAGGCTGCGAACGCAACCGTGGCAATACCCAGACCGGGGAAAGCGCCCCTGAATCGGTTCCAGCGGGTGAAGGGACCAGTGTAGCGCCATGTTTCCCTAATGTTTTCATTTCAATTAGCCCTGGGAGGTTGGAGGGGGGGGGGGAGGAAGGGGGCGGACGCTCGGGCCCAAGGATCTGGTCGGGTGGGTTTTTTTAAGAGGATTTGTGGGTCGAAGGGGGGGCGAGGTGGCATTTTCGATTCGGTGATGGCTCGATAGAGTGGATTATTTGGAGGTTACCAGCAAGCTAATGTTTATGGGCGCGGGAAAGTTGCCAAGTTAGTTAGTTGGTGGGGGGGTTCACCAGGAATTACCCGGCTGCTGATTCGTGGTGAGAGGAAATGGCTTGGCATTTGACGCCCAGCCTGTCTACGATGCTAAATTCGAAAGTTATTATATCATACTTTAACCCAACTCAGGACGGGAGCCATCCATCAACCCAACCTAGCAAGAAACCATAACAACAACAACGACAAATAAAACTACCGCAGCCCTAATACGGTGCACACTACGATACGAGGGAAAAATGTCACTAAAACCCATCCCCGGCGAAGAAGATTGCACTGGCGGCGACGATGAACCGAAAATTGAAGAACCGGACCTAGCACCGGACGACCCGATGCGCGCTTTTCTGCCAAAGTCCTTCGGAAAGCAGACGATAGAACGGGACGTGAAAGTGCGTGTCGAGCAGACCCGTCGAGCTGCCCCTCCGCCTCCGCCCTGCAGAGCTAGACCACCACAAGACTCAGACTCCGACGATGGCGACAGCTCAGAAGAGGAAGAAGAATACCCCCTCTCCCATGAACTCACAATCCCAGCACACACTAAGCCCATCTCAAGCATAACCCTCGATCCGCCCGGTACGCGCTTCGTGACAAGTAGCCACGACACGACAATCAAGTTCTTTGACTTCCACGCCATGTCGACTACGCATCTTCACCCTTTCAAGACACTGGAACCGAGCGAAGCGCATCACATCCACTCCGTAGCCTTCTCCCCGCTAGACAACGGCCAGCACCTACTCGTTGTGCCGGCAGCACCGCAGGCAAAGATATTGACGCGGGACGGGGATACAGTGCTGGAGTTCGTCAAGGGCGATCCGTACCTGCGCGACATGCACAATACGAAGGGACACGTCAGCGAGTTGAGCGGGGGGTGTTGGAGTCCTATACAGAGGGGCGTGGTCGTGACGGCGGGGACGGACTCGACGGTTAGGATCTGGGATGTGCAGAGTCGCAGGGGGCATAGGGATATTATGGTTCATAAAAGCAGGGGGAAGGGTGGGAGGAGTAGGATTTGTGCAGTGGCGTGGTGTGGCGGGGTTACCGGCGGCAGTGGGAGTGGGAGCGCGGGGAGCGCAGGCGGGGGGGTGATTGGAGCCATGGCACTGGATGGGGCGCTGAGTATCTGGAGCGCCGGAGGTCCGTATTCAAGACCAGTAATGGAAGTGCGGGATGCGCATACTAAGGAGACATGGACCAGGGGTCTAACGTTCTCCAGCGATGGAAGACTGATCGCCACGATGGGCGAGGACCAATGCATAAAACGTGAGTCCCCCTACCTATAACTATCAAAGCTGACATCTAATGGCCTAGTCTGGGACACCCGCAAACTCAAAACGCCCATAACCACGCGTGCAAGTTTCCCGACCCCAACCCCAACCCCCATAATCTTCTCCCCAACCAACAACACCACCCTCCTAACCGGCGACACTAGCAACACCCTCCACATACTCTCCTCGGCAACCCTAATCTCGGAGCAAACCCACTCCCTATCCCCCCCAACCTCCCCCGAGAAAACCCATCCCCCCTCTACCGCCAGCGCCGCCGCCACCACCCCATCCCCATTGACCAGCATAACCTGGCATGCCAATATAAATCAAATCCTGACGGGCTCCGGTCACGGGTGCCTACACATCCTGTACTCCCCAACCATCTCGCGCAAGGGCGCAACAACCCTCCTCTCGCGCGCCCCACGGAAGCGCCACATCGACGACCACAACTCCGACATCACAACAACAGATCTAACAACCATCTCCGGTGACGCGGTAATCCTTCCCAATGCTCTGCTCGCCAAGAAAAGCGTCGTGGCGGATAAGCGTAGACCAACAATGCCAGCGCAGACACCGTGGGGGAAGAGTCAGCCAGATCAGGCACATATTGAGAGAAGCATTGGCTTGAGCAGTATGCGCGATGAGGATCCCAGAGAGGCATTGCTAAAGTATGCGGATGTGGCGGAGAGGGAGCCCGTGTTCACGGCTGCATGGAAGGAGACACAGCCGAAGACTATTTATGCGGAGGTCGAGGATGAGGATGAGGATGAGGATGGGGGGAAGGGAAAGATGAGGGCGGGGACGAATAAACGGGTGAAGCGGTAGAGCGATTATTGAGTGGGACATGTGGGATCACCCGGACGGGCCGTTTTATCGCGGTGATGTGCTAAATATCCTTTCATCTTTCCTTTTTTTCCTTTTTCCTTCCTGCAAAACAAAAAAATAATAATGCCCGCTTTTTTCACTCTCATGTAAACCTTACTTATGCGGTAATCTATAGAGTATGTTCCCAAATTCCATATCCTCGAAAAAAAGGAAAAAAAAAAGCCTGGCCCGCCCTAGCGCAACATAGCATATAATCAAATTTCTCCCCAACAAATATATTGTACGAGTACTATACCGACACCCCACCCCTCCCCCCCTTCCCAAGTTCGCTCCCAATTTCGTCACAAAAAAAATAAAAATAAAAGATAGAAACGCAACCTAATTCGAAATTGGAAGAAGTCAAAACTAGGCATGCTCCATACCAGTGCCATAGGAAGTACCGTATGCTAAAGCATTTCTGACCAAAGCAATCATGATAATCCACCATCACACTACAGGGAATCCAAACACTCTACCTAACAACATAGGCAAGAGGAAAATAAAAAGATCGAGTCACAACTGAGAAAGACAAATTATGCACAAGAACCCATCCATCCCAGTACTCCTAGGAGGTAACAGGGTAGAAGAAGAAAGCAGATTTATCCAAAGAAAAGAAGAGAGATAGAAAAACACCAACTCCGTAATCACCAATGTAGGGGTAAAAGAGAGAAAAAAACCTCCGACAAATTGAGGTAATAATAAAAATAAAATAAAAACAATATAGTGCCCACTCTCTGTACCTTTCAACGAAAGACTGGAAAAGGAAGGAATTTAAAAAACACCACGACCAGCGACGACTTCCAGCACGTCGTCCACTACAGCCTCAAGTTCACCCACACGAGCCCTGAGCATACGATTCTCCTGACGGACAATTTCCGCGTCACTCCCGCCCCAGACGCCCGTCTGCCTATTCCCTCTGAGAGCAGCGGCGAAGCCCCATTTTGATGTTGGGCTGTTGTTGTTGTTGTTGTTGTTGTTGTTCCCGGTATTGTTAGAAGGGGGCCAAGCTTGGCTGAGGGGTGTAGGGATTCTCATGCTTGCAATGGAAGACGCGGAGGAAGAGACGGGGTGGAGGGATTTGGCACAAGAGTCGCATTTTAATGGCGCGGCAGAGGCAGTGGAGGTTGTGATTGTCGAGGTGGATGTTGTGGAGGAAGTTTCGTCGACGCTAGTATCCAGGAATGAGCCTACGGGGCTAGCCATGCGATCCCTCTCGCGAATGGAGAATAGGCTATCTGCGTCGCTCTCAAAGCCGGAGTCGCTGGCTGCACTTGCGCGCTTCCTTCGATTAGCCATCGCAGCCCGTTGTTCAAAGTCCTGCGCCTTGGCCCTTTCGCGATGCAGTTCATCCTCCAAACCTCTTATCCGCTTCTCGTATGCCGCGAGGCGTAACTGCTGCTCCTCTCTTGCCGCTCTCTCCTCCGTGGCGAGCCGTTCCAACTGCAGCTTGTATTCTGCAGTCTTGGTCCTCGATTCTTCCAACAAATCCTGATCCTCGGCCTGTTGGTCCATCACATCCGAAAGCGCATTCGTCCGAGCCTTGTACGCTTCGTAAACCCGTTCCAGCAAGTCTCCAGCAGTTTCGGCAAGCTCTCCCAAACGCCCCTCGGGGGTTCGCTTGAGTGCTTCCTCCGGAGTCTCGGGAGTCCCCAGAGGCTCGACAGTGTACGACCCTAGCAGAGCACGGAAGGAAATGCCAGCAAACTCATCGACCAGACAAGTATCACGATCCGGAGAAAGCGCACGAGTGGACGAGCGGGATGATGGTGGGGAATTTGGCTGATTCGAACTTCCAAATGCAAAGCCGAAGAACCCCTTGTTACCAGACCTTGGGGTTCCCACGGCTGAAGCTAGAGCAGAGGCGGATGACGCAACAGCCCGCAGCGACGAGGGTGGAGGATCCTGCCCCTCTGGAGAACTCTGTCTAGTCGACGGCGTGAATATGGAAGAGAATAACCCGGCAGCGTTCCGCTGTTGCTGCTGCTGGTGGTGTTGATGTTTTCCTCGATTATCCCTGGTGAATCCCATTGGAGTTGAATGAGACCGAGTATGCCTCACAGAAGCTACTCGCGACAATTGCGATCCAGCAAGTGCTGATATTGTTGAGAGACGACTTGGTGAGGATTCTCTGCCGGGAGTGAGGGAGGTCTGGCCCACACCACCACGCGGGAGACGTCGAGTATTGCCTTGGGCGGAGACACGGGGAGGAGTGATGGGGATACTCGTGAATCTCGCTCCGTTACCGGGATAAGATGTTTCAAGATCCCAAGGATTTCCTTGGTGGGGCGCTAAAGGGGAGGAGATGGGTGGATCCGTCACTGGAGGCCGAGTGAATGAGACAGCCGGTGCAAGGCTTGCGGGGGGGGTGCTCGCCGTCAGCTTCCCCGGCGTGACCTGGACGGTGGGGGAAGGCGAATCTACAGAAGGGGAAATGGAGGTGGGAGCGACAGAAGTAGTCGTGGCGGTTGCGGGCGTGTCATCGCAAGGGGGAGCCAGTATGGGATTGTCGGATAACATGGTAGCATTAGTATTGTGGAGATCTCTGATTGGGAGGTGACGAGTGGCCATGATGAAATTGGGCGGTAGACCCCGACGTGCACGACGTCGTCTCTGTTGAGCCTGTGAGAACTTCCCACTGGCTATAAAAATTATAGGGTGCAAGTCTAGGTTTTGATTCTCCCAACTTCAACAACCGCCAGGACCTATCTCCTGAGCAGTTGTTCCGGACCCGTGGTGCGAGAGCAAACTATGAGCCGCCTCACACACACTCCACAGGAAGACGGCAAACGAAAAACAGATTCACTATCGGAATCGTTAGCACGCTGAACGCACCTAAAAACGCCAGTGGTTAGCGAAGTTTTTTCCCTTTCCCTTTCAAAAGAAAGAGTCCGCGGGTCGAGGATTGTTACCTACAAGGTGTCCTCGGACCAATAGCCCAGGAAGCCCTGGGTAAAACGACAGTTGTCGGATGGTTTGGAAGATTGCTAAGGGAAAGAAGGAAGGTATCCTGCTGCAAAGTAGGGCGATGGGTTATCCCAGGGTCTCCAGAAAAAGTGGATGGCGGGGGGAAGGTGGGCTGGCTGAGCAGGGGGGAGTGATGGATGACAGGAAGGCTTGACGGCCGTGTGATAAACGAATCAAGGGGAATGGGATGGGGAAGAAGAGAAGGGGGTTGGGGTTCAGGGAGCCAGGGGGGAACGATTGGAAACAGAGATAGCGAGTGTGCCAGTGTGAGCGAGAGAATCCAGGGCCTGTGGACTGGCAGAGATTGACAGCACGGTTCTCGAAGCCCTTCGCCCACAGCCAACCAGCGGCGGGCTCAGCCAGCTGTCTCCTAATCCATTCGTTGTTTACCTTTGACTACGATAGGAAGGGCCAAGCCAAAGGGTGCATTCAACCTATCCCTGGGAGGCGAAACCTTGGCAAGAGCTGGCACCGCTTCCGCAGTGAGCTTCCTTCACGCCGCCCCATTCGAAGTCTCGACACAGCTCACAGTCCACGGTGCAGGATACAGGATCTCTTCGTTCCCTCGCCCCACGCCGTGACACTCAAACGAGCCGAGCCTGAGCTTCCTCATCACCGCCCATCATCACTCTCCGCCGCCGCCTTCCCCTCTTCTCCACTCCCCCAGCTTGCATACGAAAGTATCCCATTTCACATCCCCACACAGGAACGAGCGCCTCGGGTATCATAATTAGGATTCTAACCGAACCGGACTCGCACACTTCCTTCGCTTTCATTGGTCGGCGGCTGTGTCCCCGTGCTCGGTGCTGTACCAGCACACGAGGGATCTCCCACCGCCATGTGAGCGCGTGGAACAGCTTTAATGGGCTTCGTGGGAAGGGGAGACGCCGGACAGCGTGACGAAACATGAGGCTGGGACAGTGACCGGCATTTCCTGGCCTCCAAGGTCATTGCGTTCCCATGGGTTCAAGGTTGGTACTTGTAATACTGTAGTTTATACAACACGGTATCATACATGAAAACTCGGAGATCAAGAAACTGTACTCGAGTACTCGAGCATGCAGCTTTTCTTTTCTCCCGTTTTAGTGTTCCGCTTGACCACGACATCTTCCGGGCCAAGAGGAAGAACTACCGCTGCATGCCGGTGGTAACTTATCGGCACTGTGCTGTGGTTATGATACAAGTAGTACTTGTACATACAGTAAACTGCAACCACGCACCGCTCGCAAATGTCTGTCCCGATCTGATAAGATAACGGTAGCCGCTCGCTGTTCCTCCCCTTCCTCACCAAATCCGACTCACACCCTTTCCATCAACGTGAAACAAACCTCCCCCAGAATGCCAGCCCCAACCCCAACCCCACTTCCATTCCCCCTCCCCACAAACCTCCCACCCCTCGAAACCCTCTACTTTCCCACTCCGAACCCTAACCCCGCTCAGCCTTACATTCTCTTTATCCCTGGAAACCCGGGTCTGGTAGGGTACTACGTAGCATACCTTTCGGCTCTGAGCGCGCTCGCAAAGTTGCCCATCCTCGCCCTCTCGCACAGCGGCTTCTGTCCGGGGCAGGCGTGCGCAAAGCCGACGCCCCCGGGGTATTGGGGGCTGCGGGATCAGGTCAGGCATAAGGCCGAAATCATCCGATGGTTGGCGGAGGAGAAGGGATGGGATAAGGTTTTGCTGATGGGTCACTCCGTGGGCGGATACGTGTTTATGGAGGTGATTCGGGAACTGGGAGGAGAGGGTGAGAAGGTTGAGGTTGTTGGGGGAGTGGGATTGTTTCCTACCATAGTCGATATTGGGAAGAGTCCTAGTGGACGGTTACTGACCGTAAGTGATACCGCGCCGCCACCAGGGAGACGGATAATAGTGGGCGCTTCTATTACTATTCCCAACTTTTACCCTTTCCATCCACAGCCGTCGTCCCGAAAATCTGATGCTTCCCGCTGTACCGAGTAGTCCATCCTGTCCTACGTCCCACCTCTCCCCTCCATCGCTGCGACGGCCGCTCGAGCTCTCACCCTCCTCCCAGCCCCAGTCCTCGATACCATCCTGAAAGCGGTAACCCGCCAGCCACCTTCCGCCGCTAGCGTCACAGGTACGTTCCTCACCGCCCCCGGGATGGTTTTCCAAGCCCTGGAGCTAGCGCGAGAAGAAGTGGAAACCATCACGGAGGACGCATGGGGTGAGGAGATATGGGGGTGCGATGATACACCCCTTGTGTTTTATTTTGGAAGAAACGTAACCACGAGTCGCTCCCTCCACGAAGGTGGTACGGACGCTGATTCGATACAGGACCACTGGGTTGCGGAAGAGACGAGGGAGAAACTGCTCGAAGCCAGAGGTACCGGCGTGAGAATGGTTGTTTGTGAGGACGGGCTACCCCACGGGTTTTGCATTTGTGAGTTTCAAGCCTTGCTCCCAATGCAAAGTGCCCCGCTGACGCCGTCTTGGGAATAGCGCATGGGGAGATTATGGCCGAGAAAGCCGCTGCCTGGGTTAATGAGATGGCTGCAAAGGGAAACCCGGGAGGCTCCCTTGGAGAAGGGCCACACCGGACAGGACCATAGCACGATACGGATATAATAGTTTGCGTTGGACATCAATTTTGCGAGTGAGATTACATGATTTAGAGAGATAGCTTAGAGGGGGATGATTGATGTTTTTAAGAGGGCATCGTATGGGTATTTCGGATATCGATGCAAGAGCTCAGGGTGTGATAGCTTTTCCTCTCCCTTTTTCCCCTTGTTTTTTCCCTCTTTTCCCCTTGGATAGAAAGCATACATCATTGCTGCTCGGGGTACGGCAGCAGCACATCACGGTATAATGTCATATTTGCACCATAGTGCCTCTTGACGCCCACCCGTGAATTCGCAACCGCCAATCATTACCTCCCTCCGTGGAAAGCCCCAGTCCGGCATTAGCCGAGAAGTGCGCGACGAGCAGCTGACCTGGCTACCCATTTCCCCGGTCCACAAGAACCCTGGCACTTCCCTCCCGAGGTTCGAGGGGATATGATGATCGAGCGTATGATAATACGGTACGACACAGTACTAGTACGAGTACTGTAGGGCTAGTGCTTTACCTATACAAGTACTATAACCCTTCCTCCTCTCCCAAGGGGATTCACATATCATACCGGTACCAATATTCCCTAGACTGCGCTCACTCTCCTGTCTCCTCTCGTGTCTATAGAGGAAAAAGGAAAACTGCAGATCGTCCGAGGGACCAGAGTCACGCTGCACCTGTTTTGTCCTATTCCTTCCACCCAAAGAAAAGTCTTGGCAGCCGTCAGGCGCGTCCGTGCATCAGAAGCTGAACCTCGGCACAGTTTTGTTGCTCGGCTGGCTGAGATTCCAGCACTTGACCCGCTTTTTATGACGAACTTCTGTGGCCATGATACAAATAAACTCACCGCCATAGCTTATGATAGGGCCCCGACTGAGGGTTGCTTCTTTCTATTGCTATTACTTGTACCTTGCGAGTACTGCTGTATCACGAGCCTACCAGCACCGGTAAGGTTGACATAATAATATCACCTTGTTCCTCTCGTCCGATTTTTTTTAATTTTTTTTTTTCCCATCCTCTTCGCGCTGATATTTATTCCCCCGGGCTCCAGGGCTGATCCGGGTTACGGTACGAGTAATACGGCATTGGAAGCTCGTTGGGGTCTCTCTCCCTCTCTCCCTCTCTCTCTCGTTTTTCCCTTTTTCTCCCCTGTTTTATGTGCATCGTAGATCCAGGGTTGCGCTCACCCCTACTGTCACAGCTATGGCACCTCCACCTCCTGTGTAAGAGATTTGTTTCCCCACTCCCATCCACTGTTCAAAGCTAACACCCGTGTAGTCCTAAACTAGCCGACAAAAACACCCTAACAGTGATCGACAATCGAACCGACAAAACAATCACCGTCCCTATAACACACAACTCCATCCCCGCGACCGCCTTCAAAGCGCTCAAGGGTGAGGTTCCGGAGACAAAGGGTGGCGTGGACACCGACGATACGACCAACGGGATTCGCGTCTTCGATCCCGCCTTTCTCAACACTGCCGCCATAAGCTCCAAGATCACCTTTATCGATGGAGATAAGGGTTTCCTCATGCACAGGGGGTACCCTATCGAACAACTCGCGGAGAAATCCGACTATCTGGAAACGGCCTACTTGCTCATTTACGGCGAGCTACCGAGCAAGAGCCAGGGCGAGATATGGAAGTTTGAGGTGATGCATCACACCGAGATTGCGGACGATCTTGCGAAGGTTATCGGGAGTATGAGATATGGTTGGCGCCTCCCCTTCTCCCCTCTCTGCCGTGGACGGCAAGCGTTAATACAATGGGGCAGACTCCCACCCCATGTCAGTCTTCATCTCCGCCTTTGCAGCAATGGGCGCCTTCGCCCCGGAAGCAAACCCGGCCCTTCAGGGCCGGAACCTGTATATCCAGGACAAAGCCATAATGAACAAAAACATCATCCGTATAATTGGCAAATCCGCCACCGTTGCCGCAGCGAGTATGCGTGTGCGCATGAACCGACCCTTCATCGCCCCGCGCTCGGACATGGGCTTCGCCGAGAACATGCTGTACATGATGGATGCGACGTCCGACGCGGAGGACTACAAGCCGGACGCGAGGCTGGCCAGAGCGCTGGAGACACTGTTCATCCTGCACGCCGACCACGAGATGAACTGCTCGACCGCGACGATGACACACGTGGGCTCCTCCCTGGTGGATCCTTACTCGGCCGTTTCAGCCGCCGCGGCAGCGCTCTACGGCCCGCTACACGGTGGCGCGAACGAGGCCGTCATCCGCATGATGGAGAGGATTGGGACGGTGGAGAACATCCCGGCCTTCGTATCCGCCGTCAAGGCCAAGAAGGAACTCCTCTTCGGCTTCGGCCACAGGGTCTACCGCAACACCGACCCGCGCAGCAAGATCATCCGGGAGGTGGCGGAAACCGTATTCGCCGCCTGCGGCCACGAGCCGCTCATCGAGGTCGCCACCGCGCTGAGAGACGCCGCCCTTGCGGACCCCTGGTTTGTGGAAAAGAAGCTGTATCCGAACGTGGATTACTGGTCCGGCTTAATTTACCGCAGCTTGGGGTTCCCGCTGGATTTTTTCCCAGTGCTGTTCGCGGTTCCCAGGGTCGCGGGCTGGCTCGCGCACTGGAAACAGGCCATCGAGGCGGGTAATCCAAAGATTTGGAGACCTAGGCAGCTCTACATCGGCCCGCAGGTTAGGGATTACGTCCCCGTTGAGGACAGGGTGGAGAGGGAGATTCAGGATGGGAAGGAGGGGATCACGGGGTTGCCGGTATGTACTCCTTTTTCACCTTTCCAAAGTACGGTTGTTGAATGGGGATGTTCTGACCATGGTATTGGGAGTGACAGCACTACCAGTCGAGAAGAAGATTGGCCGCCAAGTTGTAATCTGCTTAAAATGTGCGGCGGGGGGGTGGCTTCACTCCCTTTCCTTTCCATCTCCTCTTCTTCTTCTGGCCGGAGCGCGTGTGCGTTTCGTTGCGTTGTATCATAGTCAATTCCATACCCTTGTTCAACGCCCAGTCCCGTTGTTTCTCCACCGAGTGATTCCCCATGCAGAATTCGCAATACATATTATTGTATACATGAGCGGTCTCTAAAAAAAAGGGGGGGAGGGGAACCCTGATTATGCCGTATCATACTATCACACTAACCACCCATCCCCACGACACTCCGACCATCTAGGGCAATCAAGTACGCGGATTTTATGATGGTATACCGTATATTTGACCTCTTATATTATCATATCATACACACTGTTATAAATACCAGCCCGAGAATTGCTAACCCTAAACTGGAAAATTTCACAAAACGCCAAACCACCCAAGGGGGTTTTTTTTTTCTTCTATCATACTGCGATTATACATATCATGATGATAATAAAGGCATTGTAATTGATTACTACTGCAGTAGCCAACACCGCATTGGCACCCAGATAGAGATGGCAAGCGCTCTTATAGAGAGGGAGGGTATCATAGAAATATATGTATGATGAGGAAGAGGCAAGCAAGAAATGATCGAGAGGAATACCGGCACGATAAGCCTTTGGGCTCCGTGATGAAGGTGCCGTACGATAATCGATACTATTATATGATATAGTACCTATCAAGAACCTTTCTAGAAAGGTTCTTGATCTCACTGGTTTCCGATTTTCAACAACGCCCCCGAGTATAGACAGCCGCCCTAGCCACCCCCTCACCCGGACAGCTGAACCTAAGCCGGAAACCTTCAGGTGGTTTTACTTTGTGATTACTGGAGTACCGTATCAACTCTTGTAATCCACTATCTCCACCCGCCCTGTAATCCCCGGATTCTGAGTCAAAGTCTCCTGAGAAAGATTAGTGTTTTCCCCAAGTGGTAAGGCCTCAGCATCCAGTGTCTACTCGTACAAGTATTGTATTGGATCTCATTAACCGGAATTCGCAATTTTCTTAGCCTGTCAAAATAGACCTATTGTGAATGAAACGGAGATCAGCACAGGCTACGGAGATGGTGGATTACAAGAGTTAATACTGTACGGTAGACTACTGTGCTGATCACCACTCTTTTTCTCATGGGGCTAGCATCTGTTCGGGTGTGGTGTCCAGTTGGCTAGAGAGGCTGTCTACCCAAGCGCGTACAAACATCCAGCGTCACCCACCAAATAAACGTCATGATTAAGATCGAACACGGGAAGATACTGTACTCGGGTACAAGGGTAAGTCGGGTGCGTGGCCATTGCCCGGCTTGGCAGCTTTTGAGCTTGTATTTTTTTGTCCGGGTAACTATACCCCTATCTTAATCGCAAATCCACCATCTTTGCTCATGTCCTTCTTACCCCCCCTAAGACTGTAATAACTACAGCAATATTCTTTCATCACTCAGTCTCAGATAGATGCTGAATATAAACACAAGTAGTAGCTGTGGAGGCAAACTGGTGATAGTGCAGGTGGTCCCTGAGCCTGCTTGTTGGAAAGTAGCACAACAGGAGGGGGAATCATACTGAGCGTACATGACTTTTGTCCCCCACCAATTCTGGTCATCAGATATCACTCATATTTCCTTATCTGTCCTAGTTCCCATACAAAAGTCCTGCCTATTTTGGAAGCGCGCACATGACTTATGGTTACCCCCGAGTACGTACTCAAGTCGCCGGATTGAAGTCGCGTTTCCGTTTGAAGTATAATGTATCTTGGCATGGTAATGGATGCTGTTTCATAAGCAAAATTTGAAGTGCCGGATAAGCCAAGTCTTGTCATCGATTTCCCTTTGAAAACAGTGATCGTACTCCTTCTCTTCTTATAATTCATTTTCATATATTTATTATTTTATTAGCCATGAGCCTGCAAGACATGAAAGAGCATACCATATGAGATAGCGACTCTTTTGCAAATGTCTGACCCATCTTCAGTACTTTATGCTACTCGCATCTGGTACATTGAATGCTGCCTATGAAACTAGCCCCATTGCTATGCCAAGATGCATTATACCCCGAAAGGAAACGTGACTTCATTCCGGCGACTTGAGTACGAGTACAGTACG